TAAAATAAAACAGTGAGTACGAGAAATATACAGTCGGTAGCAAGGTAAAATAAAACAGTGAGTACGAGAAATATACAGTCGGTAGGAAGGTAAAATAAAACAGTGAGTACGAGAAATATACAGTCGGTAGGAAGGTAAAATAAAACAGTGAGTACGAGAAATATACAGTCGGTAGGAAGGTAAAATAAAACAGTGAGTACGAGAAATATACAGTCGGTAGGAAGGTAAAATAAAACAGTGAGTACGAGAAATATACAGTCGGTAGGAATGTAAAATAAAACAGTGAGTACGAGAAATATACAGTCGGTAGGAAGGTAAAATAAAACAGTGAGTACGAGAAATATACAGTCGGTACATAGGTAAAATAAAACAGTGAGTACGAGATATATACAGTTGATAGGGTGAAATAAACCAGTGAGTACGAGAAATATACAGTCGGTACGAAGGTAAAATAAAACAGTGAGTACGAGAAATAAAATAAAACAGTCGGTAGGAAGTAAAATAAAAAATAAAACAGTGAGTACGAGAAATATACAGTCGGTAGGAAGGTAAAATAAAACAGTGAGTACAAGAAATATACAGTCGGTAGGAAGGTAAAATAAAACAGCGAGTACGCGAAATATACAGTCGGTAGAAAGGTCAAATAAAACAGTGAGTACGAGAAATATACAGTCGGTAGGAAGGTAAAATAAAACAGTGAGTACGAGAAATATACAGTCGGTAGGAAGGTAAAATAAAACAGTGAGTACGAGAAATATACAGTCGGTAGGAAGGTAAAATAAAACAGTGAGTACGAGAAATATACAGTCGGTAGGAAGGTAAAATAAAACAGTGAGTACGAGAAATATACAGTCGGTACGTAGGTAAAATAAAACAGTGAGTACGAGATATATACAGTTGATAGGGTAAAATAAACCAGTGAGTACGAGAAATATACAGTCGGTACGAAGGTAAAATAAAACAGTGAGTACGAGAAATATACAGTCGGTAGCAAGGTAAAACAAAACAGCGAGTACAAGAAATATACAGTCGGTAGGAAGGTAAAATAAAACAGTGAGTACGAGAAATATACAGTCGGTAGGAAGGTAAAATAAAACAGTGAGTACGAGAAATATACAGTCGGTAGGAAGGTAAAATAAAACAGTGAGTACGAGAAATATACAGTCGGTAGGAAGGTAAAATAAAACAGTGAGTACGAGAAATATACAGTCGGTAGGAAGGTAAAATAAAACAGTGAGTACGAGTACGAGTAAATATACAGTCGAGAAATATACAAGGTAAAATAAAACAGTGAGTACGAGAAATATACAGTCGGTAGGAAGGTAAAATAGAACAGTGAGTACGAGAAATATACAGTCGGTAGCAAGGTAAAATAGAACAGTGAGTACGAGAAATATACAGTCGGTAGGAAGGTAAAATAAAACAGTGAGTACGAGAAATATACAGTCGGTAGGAAGGTAAAATAAAACAGTGAGTACGAGAAATATACAGTCGGTAGGAAGGTAAAATAAAACAGTGAGTACGAGAAATATACAGTCGGTAGGAAGGTAAAATAAAACAGCGAGTACGAGAAATATACAGTCGGTAGGAAGGTAAAATAAAACAGTGAGTACGAGAAATATACAGTCGGTAGGAAGGTAAAATAAAACAGTGAGAAATACGTAAAATAAAAATATACAGAAATATACAGTCGGTAGGAAGGTAAAATAAAACAGTGAGTACGAGAAATATACAGTCGGTAGGAAGGTAAAATAAAACAGTGAGTACGAGAAATATACAGTCGGTAGGAAGGTAAAATAAAACAGTGAGTACGAGAAATATACAGTCGGTAGGAAGGTAAAATAAAACAGTGAGTACGAGAAATATACAGTCGGTAGGAAGGTAAAATAAAACAGTGAGTACGAGAAATATATACCGTCGGTAGGAATGTAAAATAAAACAGTGAGTACGAGAAATATACAGTCGGTAGGGTAAAATAAAAGAGTGAGTACGAGAAATATACAGTCGGTAGGAAGGTAAAATAAAACAGTGAGTACGAGAAATATACAGTCGGTAGGAAGGTAAAATAGAACAGTGAGTACGAGAAATATACAGTCGGTAGGAAGGTAAAATAAAACAGTGAGTACGAGAAATATACAGTCGGTAGGAAGGTAAAATAAAACAGTGAGTACGAGAAATATACATTCGGTAGGAAGGTAAAATAAAACAGTGAGTACGAGAAATATACAGTCGGTAGGAAGGTAAAATAAAACAGTGAGTACGAGAAATATACAGTCGGTAGGAAGGTAAAATAAAACAGTGAGTACTAGAAATATACAGTCGGTAGGAAGGTAAAATAAAACAGCGAGTACGCGAAATATACAGTCGGTAGAAAGGTCAAATAAAACAGTGAGTACGAGAAATATACAGTCGGTAGGAAGGTAAAATAAAACAGTGAGTCCGAGAAATATACAGTCGGTAGGAATGTAAAATAGAACAGTGAGTACGAGAAATATACAGTCGGTAGGAAGGTAAAATAAAACAGTGAGTACGAGAAATATACAGTCGGCAGGAAGGTAAAATAAAACAGTGAGTACGAGAAATATACAGTCGGTAGGAGGTAAAATAAAAAAATAGAAGGTAAAATGAGTACGAGAAATATACAGTCGGTAGGAAGGTAAAATAGATCTGTGAGTACGAGAATTATTCTGTCGGTAGGACGTTAAAATAAAACAGTGAGTACGAGAAATATACAGTCGGTAGGAAGGTAAAATAAAACAGTGAGTACGAGAAATATACAGTCGGTAGGAAGGTAAAATAAAACAGTGAGTACGAGTTTTTTACAGTCGTTTGGTCTTTATAATTCAACAGTGAGTACGAGAAATATACAGTCGGTAGGAAGGTAAAATAAAACAGTGAGTACGAGAAATATACAGTCGGTAGGAATGTAAAATAAAACAGTGAGTACGAGAAATATACAGTCGGTAGGAATGTAAAATAAAACAGTGAGTACGAGAAATATACTCGGTAGTCGGTAAAATAAAACAGTGAGGAAGGTAAAATAAAACAGTGAGTACGAGAAATATACAGTCGGTAGAAAGGTAAAATAAAACAGTGAGTACGAGAAATATACAGTCGGTAGGGTAAAATAAAACAGTGAGTACGAGAAATATACAGTCGGTAGGAAGGTAAAATAAAACAGTGAGTACGAGAAATATACAGTCGGTAGGAATGTAAAATAAAACAGTGAGTACGAGAAATATACAGTCGGTAGGAAGGTAAAATAAAACAGTGAGTACGAGAAATATACAGTCGGTAGCAAGGTAAAATAAAACAGTGAGTACGAGAAATATACAGTCGGTAGGAAGGTAAAATAAACCAGTGAGTACGAGAAATATACAGTCGGTACGAAGGTAAAATAAAACAGTGAGTACGAGAAATATACAGTCGGTAGCAAGGTAAAACAAAACAGCGAGTACAAGAAATATACAGTCGGTAGGGTAAAATAAAACAGTGAGTACGAGAAATATACAGTCGGTAGAAAGGTAAAATAAAACAGCGAGTACGAGAAATATACAGTCGGTAGGAAGGTAAAATAAAACAGCTAAAATAAAACAGTGAGTAGAAGGTAAAATAAAAAACGAGAAATATACAGTCGGTAGGAAGGTAAAATAAAACAGTGAGTACGAGAAATATACAGTCGGTAGGAAGGTAAAATAAAACAGTGAGTACGAGAAATATACAGTCGGTAGGAAGGTAAAATAAAACAGTGAGTACGAGAAATATACAGTCGGTAGGAAGGTAAAATAAAACAGTGAGTACGAGAAATATACAGTCGGTAGGAAGGTAAAATAGAACAGTGAGTACGAGAAATATACAGTCGGTAGGAAGGTAAAATAGAACAGTGAGTACGAGAAATATACAGTCGGTAGGAAGGTAAAATAAAACAGGGAGTACGAGAAATATACAGTCGTACGTAGGTAAAATAAAACAGTGAGTACGAGATATATACAGTCGGTAGGAAGGTAAAATAAAACAGCGAGTACGAAGGAGAAGGGAAATATGGGTAGAGAAGGATGGGAGAGTGTGAGAGAACGGTACAAAATAAAAGGAAATTGTGTCTAGAGAAGGACGGCAGAGTGTGAGGGAACGGGACAAAAGACAATGGAAATGTGGTAGAGAGGGATGACAGAATGTGAGGGAACAAGAAGACACAGAGGACAGGGGAAATGTGGGTAGAGGCGGATAGAGAAGGTTGATGAGGACAGGGGAAATTTCGGTAGGGAAGGATAATATGGTGAACATTTGTGGGTACAGGTAAAACCAGAGATAATGTATAGCATGGATCTTCATATAGAACACCACCTGTTAAATCACACATGCAAAGATGATAAGTAGCTATTCGTATAATTTTGTAACGAGCGCCCAAATATTCCCCATTTGGTTTATAAATGTTTTCTAGATATGACAATCAACAACACTAAACTTTGAATTTCGTCTTTTATCTTGATTTCAGAAACCCAAAATACCTGAGTAAATGTTTTAAATTTCCATCTTTATGTGTTGAAATGTATTTTAACCACTGATAAATATTTGTATTACAACAAACGAGTAAATACATCAAAGTGTACTTTTATACCAGAAATGACGCTGTGTTTATACTAGACTCGTGTGAGACTTGTCTAAAATGATATAACAAGACATCTACCAGCTATTCTCTAACTCCAGGTTAAAAAGAATAAAGCGTTCCATTATTTATTAAAGCGTTGATTATTTTTTCACATATACACCCCGAAAAATTATACAAAAGATGTTAACCTTATTTAAAACTGTGATAGGGTTTTGAACCACGTGCAAGCAGAATTCTATTTCAAATTCCTGCTTCCAGCTGACCACATAACATTCAAAGATTAGATAGTACGTATTGAGTTCAGGTCAGTGGTTTGAATTAAAGACATCGCCTCTCTTGCCATGCAGTCTTATATAAAAAGAGGTTTTTAGTCCATACAACACATAGAATCATGACAGGACTCGCGCTTACAACCTTTGTGCTACTCATTCATGGTAGGAAATTCATGGATTGTTTTCTTTTCTTTTTTAATTATTATTATTCATGTAAATGTCGCAAACCCCGATATGCATTCACTATAAAAAAAAGGCAATATGTTAAAATGTAGTTATAAAAAGTGGTATTTTTGTATTGCTGGATCTGGTAGCCATTGATAGCTACATCTGGTAAAGACAGTGAGAATGCTTACATGGAAAACATGAGGTAGGATCAGAAATCAACCTCACTTATGAATAGGCATCATTGAAACGTAATGCGAACCCTGTTTGCTAGCTGATGTTCCCTCCGTGAATGTCAGAAATGACATGATTCAAAGTCACCCGATAAAATATCATGTCACTAAATAGTACGTTTCCTTTTCAATTCATTTATACAAAAGGTATGAAATTTCTGGACAACTACAAACCTCAAATTCAAAATTGCACGGAATATTAAAATAGACCTACAATATTAGACAGAAAAAAAATCTGTGTAATTAGTAATAGTCCTTGGGAAAATTAATAAAACTTTATTATCGGCAAATATAATTACTCGTTACGCTTAGATGAGAACGAATGAGTGGATAGATTTTAAAATTCAAACACCCAGAGCTATGTTTGGTGTTTCTATAGCTTGTTCGGCTTGTACTGGTGGATGGCATTCGTTTCATCATGGAGGCCCATGTTTTAAGGTCTTTCACGAAAGTGGAATCAGTTGGAACCAAGCCAATGTAAGTAAAGAATTCATGAAAAAAATATTTTAACATCAACGGACTTTTAGGTCAGCCAAACAAAATAACACTACAAATGGTAAATAATGAGCTCACAGATATGTGTGGTGGGATTTTTATTTCAAGAATGATGCAGGATTGTTTTTTTCTGCGATCCATGTGATATCATTTCAAGGGGATGGCGAAACGAGCTGATAACTTTCATTCTTTATTGTACTTTGAAATTAACTTATCATATCATCAATGTGTTCTACGTTTTTGCTGACTTCAACGTGTACAGACAATATTGAGATACTTTGTTTGGGTATCATTAAACATAAACAATTATTTCAGTCAGGAACATTTGTTCAAACAAAACGTTGACAAACGAACAAACGCACGGATGGGAGTGATAAATAGGATAAATGTTAAACGTTTAGTTTAGCTTATTGAAAATAGGTGGCTCATATATCCTCTCCTAACTGGTTTCGGACAATTTTTCAGATCCGGTTGGAGACATATATAATATTATATATACTATAAAGTGGTTAAATGATAACGGATTTTACATGGTCTCATAATAAAGAGGGTGCCGCACTAATACTGATATTTCGAGATCTAGAAATGGATGTCAATAGCAGTTGTTTGAAGTTTATCTTGAAAATTTAATCAGTAATTCTTTAAAAATATTGTTTCCAATTACTTATTATACATACGTGTATTTTGCGTAACTACAGTAACGTCTATTTGTCTGGAGAGATCAATTCCGACATCAAGAAATATTAGTCAGGAGTAAGAACAAGCCAAATGCAGGTGATTTTAAATGACTTTGTATCAATTTCACTATTATAGTCAAGGTGTAGAGGAATGGGTACTGTTCTAGCACAGGTGTCTGACCATAGTACACATACTCACCTGATCAATCTAATATGTAAGTATTACCATGTAGACCATATCGAGTTATCTCTCTGTTGAATTGTCATACCGTATCTTACTATATTGTTAACTACAAGGAAGAAATAGTAAATTTAGGAACTGTTATACTGTGCAATCAGAATCAGCCTTTCTATTTACTGCTTTAATTAAAAAAAACGGAAACAAGATGCGTTTATGAAACACTATGACCCGATAGAAACAAATTAAAATCATATGGTGAGCTCTGGTAATGGCAAGGTTAAAGTTGACAAGGTTAAAGTTGACAAGAGACTAATAAATAAACAGACAGACAAACAAACAGCTAGCACAAAAACAATATGACCCTGATCTTTCGATCCGGGGGCATAAAAAACATAGCGTATACCTAATAAGTACAAATGAAATAAGTGGTCTTTTTAGTTTAGATATCAAGTGCATAAATTTGAATGTTAACGGACATCAGATTAAACACGATTGTATAAAAAATATTTATTCTCGATATTTATCTCGAGGTAGCTTCAAAATTGTGTAAATAGCAAGAGAATAATACGTAACTTGTTTTAATATTGAACTTCAAATCAGTTGTCTTTAATTACTCAAAATTTAAGAAGATTTTATAGTTGCTCAGCGTAATGTTACATGTCATTTATATATCCCAAGCATCGGATTACAGTTCAGGGTTTTTCATGATCGGAGCCACTAACTGGCATGGCAGTTGGACCTGGAATAATCTTGGTAGTTCCCTGCCTTACGGGGACACTTACTGGCTACCTGGACAGCCAGACAACTACTGCGCACCCCACCATACATGCCACGAAGGTCAACACTGTGTAGCTTACACTAACAAGAACGGCCATGGTCACTGGGGCTGGGATGACATCACGTGCAGCGTTGATAACTACGACGGTTATATTTGTGAAAAGAATGCTGATGGGTAAGTTTGAAAAAAAAAAATGAAAAACGAACCTGTGAAGATAATCATAATCCAAACACGAATTCAGTAAATCAAGGGTAAACTATGAAAAAGACTTCTGAATAAGTAAAACGATATATTTTTTTAAAGAATAGGAAGCGTATTTTGCTTCATCGACGACACCAGCCATGTAAATAAATCTTGGTCAATGCCAGTAATTTTTGTCACGTTCTCAAATGAGAACAAAGTATACTAGGACGGAACAAACAAGCAAACTAACGAGCATCAAACATGTCTAGCTTCATAACACACAAAAGGAATAGAATATTTCTCCATGAGATCAATATGACGACCGTAAAACTTCCCCATAATTTTCATCAACCAGCATTCCTTGAAACCCTTTGCTATGAGTTTTTCAGTTGACGACATTTTGCACGAAAGTCGAGTTTGGGAACAGGCCATTGAATATCGAATCAACTTCGATATGCAAACAGCGTAGGTTGTGGATGTAGGGAGGTTGCTATCAAAAATTGGAAAATTCCGATATGGAAATTTAAATAATCAAACTTTTGAATTTATAAAATCTATGAGATGGGAAAAGCATTAATGTTATCTCATATTGGTATAAAATGTCCATGTAATGTTGTTGCCCTACAGAGAAATTATTTCCAAATTATTGATAATACTTTCATAGATTTCTGTCTATTAACACGTAATGAGCAACAAGAAAGCTCCAACATGTTACTATCATCATAATCAAACTCAAATTCAATAGAACCAGGGCGAAACACGAACAAAAGAAAGACTTATACAGCGACTCCTGGAAAAGTACAAGGAGAATAAGATAGGCGTCCTCTGCTTCATCGACGACATCCGTCATGTAAACCTTGATGAATCCAAGAAAATAATGTCATGTTCTCAAATATGAACAAGGTATACAACAACGGAACCAACAGGAAAACTAAAAATTGATTTTACATCACCTGTCTAAGAGAGTAAACTTAGTATCGTTGAACCAGCAGCAAATGTGGATTCAATCTTATCAATATTAGAAAGCACAAAACCCAATAGGTAGATCGGTGGTTTTAGCTGGTGATGTGGCATACTACCTATTGGTAGATTTCATCTTTACTTAATGTACTCTAATGAAAGAATTTCACTACGGTGCGTTGTAGTAATCCAATATGATAAAGCTGTCATTTGATTTAATTTTCGAGGTTAAGAAATACAATAATCCCATCTATTTTTATATTTTCAGTTATAGTGGACCACTTGTCGGATGAAAGTCTATTTGATTCAACAGGCAAACAGATACACTGAAATTTTCCAGTCTAATAAATTTTACTTCTGTTTTAGAAGTATAACTAATATGCGTTCCGTTTTATTTTTAAAGTATAAAAATAACACGACCACAAAGTTTATTTGTATCAGGATGGGAAGGGGGTCATTATTATGAACAATTTGAACTATAGATATTAGTTCTAACGTTTGGCATGCTTTCACTCAATATGTATGAAACATGAAACGTTTGCATGAAGTGTTTCTATTGAGAATAGTAATACATAAAAGTATATCGGATATGAAATGGTATTATTAAGCAGGACGTGGGTGTATTGACATTGGTGTGCGTATGTCATATCTAACTCAAGTCCTCTGTTATACGTAAATGAATTAATTTTCTTTCTTTTTTTCTCTCTTTATTCGCACGGCGATGACTGAAATGGAACAGCCGTTGGAACATAATGTGAAGGTAACACACATAGCTATTTCTGGTTTGACAGATTTCGACATGCCTTGACCTTGGGCTTGTGTTTTGCTTCCACACTTTGTAGAACTGCCTTTCCTTTTGTGTTTTTGTCTCACCTGCACTTTGTGCTGCCTTTCCTTTTGTGTTTTTGTCCCCTACTTTGTGCTGCCTTTCCTTTTGTGTTTTTGTCCCTCACTTTGTGCTGCCTTTCCTTTTGTGTTTTTGTCCCCTACTTTGTGCTGCCTTTCCTTTTGTGTTTTGTCCCTCACTTTGTGCTGCCTTTCCTTTTGTGTTTTTGTCCCTCACTTTGTGCTGCCTTTCCTTTTGTGTTTTTGTCCCTCACTTTGTGCTGCCTTTCCTTTTGTGTTTTTGTCCCTCACTTTGTGCTGCCTTTCGTTTTGTGTTTTTGTCCCTCACTTTGTGCTGCCTTTCCTTTTGTGTTTTTGTCCCTCACTTTGTGCTGCCTTTCCTTTTGTGTTTTTGTCCCTCACTTTGTGCTGCCGTTCCTTTTGTGTTTTTGTCCCTCACTTTGTGCTACCATTCCTTTTGTGTTTTTGTCCCTCACTTTGTGCTGCCTTTCCTTTTGTGTCTTTGTCCCTCACTTTGTGCTGCCTTTCCTTTTGTGTTTTTGTCCCTCACTTTGTGCTGCCTTTCCTTTTGTGTTTTTGTCCCTCACTTTGTGCTGCCTTTCCTTTTGTGTTTTTGTCCCTCACTTTGTGCTGCCTTTCCTTTTGTGTCACTTTGTGCTGCCTTTCCTTTTGTGTCCACTTCACTTTGTGCTGCCTTTCCTTTTGTGTTTTTGTCCCTCACTTTGTGCTGCCTTTCCTTTTGTGTTTTTGTCCCTCACTTTGTGCTGCCTTTCCTTTTGTGTTTTTGTCCCTCACTTTGTGCTGCCTTTCCTTTTGTGTTTTTGTCCCTCACTTTGTGCTGCCTTTCCTTTTGTGTTTTTGTCCCTCACTTTGTGCTGCCTTTCCTTTTGTGTTTTTGTCCCTCACTTTGTGCTGCCTTTCCTTTTGTGTTTTTGTCCCTCACTTTGTGCTGCCTTTCCTTTTGTGTTTTTGTCCCTCACTTTGTGCTGCCTTTCCTTTTGTGTTTTTTGTCCCTCACTTTGTGCTGCCGTTCCTTTTGTGTTTTTGTCCCCTCACTTTGTGCTGCCTTTCCTTTTGTGTTTTTGTCCCTCACTTTGTGCTGCCTTTCCTTTTGTGTTTTTGTCCCTCACTTTGTGCTGCCTTTCCTTTTGTGTTTTTGTGTTTTTGTCTCACTTTGTGCTGCCACTTTGTGCTGCCTTTGCCTTTCCTTTTGTGTTTTTGTCCCTCACTTTGTGCTGCCTTTCCTTTTGTGTTTTTGTCCCTCACTTTGTGCTGCCTTTCCTTTTGTGTTTTTGTCCCTCACTTTGTGCTGCCTTTTGTGCTGTCCCTCACTTTGTGCTGCCTTTCCTTTTGTGTTTTTGTCCCTCACTTTGTGCTGCCTTTCCTTTTGTGTTTTTGTCCCTCACTTTGTGCTGCCTTTCCTTTTGTGTTTTTGTCCCTCACTTTGTGCTGCCTTTCCTTTTGTGTTTTTGTCCCTCACTTTGTGCTGCCTTTCCTTTTGTGTTTTTTGTCCCTCACTTTGTGCTGCCTTTCCTTTTGTGTTTTTGTCCCTCACTTTGTGCTGCCTTTCCTTTTGTGTTTTTGTCCCTCACTTTGTGCTGCCTTTCCTTTTGTGTTTTTGTCCCTCACTTTGTGCTGCCTTTCCTTTTGTGTTTTTGTCCCTCACTTTGTGCTGCCTTTCCTTTTGTGTTTTTGTCCCTCACTTTGTGCTGCCTTTCCTTTTGTGTTTTTGTCCCTCACTTTGTGCTGCCTTTCCTTTTGTGTTTTTGTCCCTCACTTTGTGCTACCTTTCCTTTTGTGTTTTTGTCCCTCACTTTGTGCTGCCTTTCCTTTTGTTCTTGTGTCCCTCACTTTGTGCTGCCTTTCCTTTTGTTCTTGTGTCCCTCACTTTGTACTGCCTTTCCTTTTGTGTTTTTGTCCCTCACTTTGTGCTGCCTTTCGTTTTGTGTTTTTGTCCTGCCTTTTTTTTTGTGTTTTTGTCCCTCACTTTGTGCTGCCTTTCCTTTTTTGTGTTTTTGTGCTGCCTTTCACTTTGTGCTGCCTTTCCTTTTGTGTTTTGTGTTTTTGTCCCTCACTTTGTGCTGCCTTTCCTTTTGTGTTTTTGTCCCTCACTTTGTGCTGCCTTTCCTTTTGTGTTTTTGTCCCTCACTTTGTGCTGCCTTTCCTTTTGTGTTTTTGTCTTTGACTTTGCGCTGCCTTTCCTTTTGTGTTTTTGTCCCTCACTTTGTGCTGCCTTTCCTTTTGTGTTTTTGTCCCTCACTTTGTGCTGCCTTTCCTTTTGTGTTTTTGTCCCTCACTTTGTGCTGCCTTTCCTTTTGTGTTTTTGTCCCTCACTTTGTGCTGCCTTTCCTTTTGTGTTTTTGTCCCTCACTTTGTGCTGCCTTTCCTTTTGTGTTTTTGTCCCTCACTTTGTGCTGCCTTTCCTTTTGTGTTTTTGTTCACTTTTGCTGCCTTTCCCTCACTTTGTGCTCACTTTGTGCTGCCTTTCCTTTTGTTCTTGTGTCCCTCACTTTGTGCTGCCTTTCCTTTTGTGTTTTTGTCCCTCACTTTGTGCTGCCTTTCCTTTTGTGTTTTTGTCCCTCACTTTGTGCTGCCTTTCCTTTTGTGTTTTTGTCCCTCACTTTGTGCTGCCTTTCCTTTTGTGTTTTTGTCCCTCACTTTGTGCTGCCTTTCCTTTTGTGTTTTGTCTTTGACTGTGCTGCCTTTCCTTTTGTGTTTTTGTCCCTCACTTTGTGCTGCCTTTCCTTTTGTTTTTGTGTCCCTCACTTTGTACTGCCGTTCCTTTTGTGTTTTGTCCCTCACTTTGTGCTGCCTTTCCTTTTATGTTTTTGTCCCTCACTTTGTGCTGCCTTTCCTTTTGTTTTTGTGTCCCTCACTTTGTGCTGCTGTTCCTTTTGTGTTTTTGTCCCTCACTTTGTGCTGCTTTTCCTTTTGTGTTTTTGTCCCCCACTTTGTGCTGCCTTTCCTTTTGTGTTTTTGTCCCTCACTTTGTGCTGCCTTTCCTTTTGTGTTTTTGTCCCTCACTTTGTGCTGCCTTTCCTTTTGTGTTTTTGCCTTTCCTTTTGTGTTTTTGTCCCTCACTTTGTGCTGCCTTTCGTTTTGTGTTTTTGTCCCTCACTTTGTGCTGCCTTTCCTTTTGTGTTTTTGTCTTTGACTTTGTGCTGCCTTTCCTTTTGTGTTTTTGTCTTTGACTTTGCGCTGCCTTTCCTTTTGTGTTTTTGTCCCTCACTTTGTGCTGCCTTTCCTTTTGTGTTTTTGTCCCTCACTTTGTGCTGCCTTTCCTTTTGTGTTTTTGTCTTTGTCCCTCACTTTGTGCTGTCTTTCCTTTTGTGTTTTTGTCCCTCACTTTGTGCTGCCTTTCCTTTTGTGTTTTTGTCCCTCACTTTGTGCTGCCTTTCCTTTTGTGTTTTTGTCCCTCACTTTGTGCTGCCTTTCCTTTTGTGTTTTTGTCCCTCACTTTGTGCTGCCTTTCCTTTTGTTCTTGTGTCCCTCACTTTGTACTGCCGTTCCTTTTGTGTTTTTGTCCCTCACTTTGTGCTGCCTTTCGTTTTGTGTTTTTGTCCCCCACTTTGTGCTGCCTTTCCTTTTGTGTTTTTGTCCCTCACTTTGTGCTGCCTTTCCTTTTGTGTTTTTGTCCCTCACTTTGTGCTGCCTTTCCTTTTGTGTTTTTGTCCCTCACTTTGTGCTGCCTTTCCTTTTGTGTTTTTGTCCCTCACTTTGTGCTGCCTTTCCTTTTGTGTTTTTGTCCCTCACTTTGTGCTGCCTTTCCTTTGTCCCTCACTTTGTGCTGCCTTTCCTTTTGTGTTTTTGTCCCTCACTTTGTGCTGCCTTTCCTTTTGTGTTTTTGTCCCTCACTTTGTGCTGCCTTTCCTTTTGTGTTTTTGTCCCTCACTTTGTGCTGCCTTTCCTTTTGTGTTTTTGTCCCTCACTTTGTGCTGCCTTTCCTTTTGTGTTTTTGTCTTTGACTTTGTGCTGCCTTTCCTTTTGTGTTTTTGTCCCTCACTTTGTGCTGCCTTTCCTTTTGTGTTTTTGTCCCTCACTTTGTGCTGCCTTTCCTTTTGTGTTTTTGTCCGTCACTTTGTGCTACCTTTCCTTTTGTGTTTTTGTCCCTCACTTTGTGCTGCCTTTCCTTTTGTTCTTGTGTCCCTCACTTTGTGCTGCCTTTCCTTTTGTGTTTTTGTCCCTCACTTTGTGCTGCCTTTCCTTTTGTGTTTTTGTCCCTCACTTTGTGCTGCCTTTCCTTTTGTGTTTTTGTCCCTCACTTTGTGCTGCCTTTCCTTTTGTGTTTTTGTCCCTCACTTTGTGCTGCCTTTCCTTTTGTGTTTTTGTCCCTCACTTTGTGCTGCCTTTCCTTTTGTGTTTTTGTCCCTCACTTTGTGCTGCCTTTCCTTTTGTGTTTTTGTCCCTCACTTTGTGCTGCCTTTCCTTTTGTGTTTTTGTCCCTCACTTTGTGCTGCCTTTCCTTTTGTTCTTGTGTCCCTCACTTTGTACTGCCTTTCCTTTTGTGTTTTTGTCCCTCACTTTGTGCTGCCTTTCCTTTTGTGTTTTTGTCCCTCACTTTGTGTTGCCGTTCCTTTTGTGTTTTTTCCCTCACTTTGTGCTGCCTTTCCTTTTGTGTTTTTGTCCCCCACTTTGTGCTGCCTTTCCTTTTGTGTTTTTGTCCCCCACTTTGTGCTGCCTTTCCTTTTGTGTTTTTGTCCCTCACTTTGTGCTGCCTTTCCTTTTGTGTTTTTGTCCCTCACTTTGTGCTGCCTTTCCTTTTGTGTTTTTGTCCCTCACTTTGTGCTGCCTTTCCTTTTGTGTTTTTGTCCCTCACTTTGTGCTGCCTTTCCTTTTGTGTTTTTGTCCCACACTTTGTGCTGCCTTTCCTTTTGTGTTTTTGTCCCTCACTTTGTGCTGCCTTTCCTTTTGTGTTTTTTGTCCCTCACTTTGTGCTGCCTTTCCTTTTGTGTTTTTGTCCCTCACTTTGTGCTGCCTTTCCTTTTGTGTTTTTGTCCCCCACTTTGTGCTGCCTTTCCTTTTGTGTTTTTGTCCCTCACTTTGTGCTGCTTTTCCTTTTGTGTTTTTGTGTTTTTGTCCCTCACTTTGTGCTGCCTTTCCTTTTGTGTTTTTGTCCCTCACTTTGTGCTGCCTTTCCTTTTGTGTTTTTGTCCCTCACTTTGTGCTGCCTTTCCTTTTGTGTTTTTGTCCCTCACTTTGTGCTGCCTTTCCTTTTGTGTTTTTGTCCCTCACTTTGTGCTGCCTTTCCTTTTGTGTTTTTGTCCCTCACTTTGTGCTGCCTTTCCTTTTGTGTTTTTGTCCCTCACTTTGTGCTGCCTTTCCTTTTGTGTTTTTGTCCCTCACTTTGTGCTGCCTTTCCTTTTGTGTTTTTGTCCCTCACTTTGTGCTGCCTTTCCTTTTGTGTTTTTGTCCCTCACTTTGTGCTGCCTTTCCTTTTGTGTTTTTGTCCCTCACTTTGTGCTGCCTTTCCTTTTGTGTTTTTGTCCCTCACTTTGTGCTGCCTTTCCTTTTGTGTTTTTGTCCCCCACTTTGTGCTGCCTTTCCTTTTGTGTTTTTGTCCCTCACTTTGTGCTGCCTTTCCTTTTGTGTTTTTGTCTTTGACTTTGTGCTGCCTTTCCTTTTGTGTTTTTGTCCCTCACTTTGTGCTGCCTTTCCTTTTGTGTTTAGGTTTTTCAATTATTTCATTGTGATATGCCTAATTGATTCCCATTGTCGTACCTTTCGTGCCCCGTCCCTCTCGTATATCTAAACAAAAAAGACAGGGGTATTACATGCTTCGAGATGAATTCGACCATGGTAATAGTTATTTCGGTAAATAATTACCATTTCTACAAAACGCCGTTTAAGTAGGTCATCAAAAGAGACTGCTTTTGAGACCATGAGGAACTTGGAGTCTATGCATGCTGAACAATATTCATGGTTTTCACTATCCGATCATGGCGAAGCTTTACAACTAATGTTACCTGGCTCTCCTCCACAAACAGAGCTCATATAACATTATATCTTAGTTCCGATATAAATTTACGTTTCCGTCCCAATAAAATGATATAACTTCAGATCGCTTATCGAATTTTATGGCTTTATCTCTGCTTGCTCTGTTGTACTTTAAGAAAGAAGATCCGAATTGTATGGTTCAACCCCTTCCCTGGGCAGCTTGCATTTTTCAAAAAAGTATTATCAAGGACCGTTTTGTGAAGTCATCCCAAAAAGTACTTTTGTGCCAACGTTTCTGAGACAAGAGAAATTAGTACAGACGGACATCCTGCTATCTTTTCTTGTTTCCATTGCTAGGGTAACTGTTCTCTGCGAAAAGATATGCGTCCAGATATGTATCAAGTGCTGCAATATTCCAGTGTCTTATCAGCATAATAAGAATAGTCTACTATTATAGAGGAATTCTCGCATGACAACGTTTAACTTTCATAGGTTAGGTGAAGAATGTAGACCAAGATAAGTATTTATTATTCATCTTTGTTCAGGTCAATGACTGGTTTCTAGTAACATCTAAAAACACACCTGTGCGTTACGAGGACTAGGCCCTAACTGATTGACAAAGTATAAAGTACACGATATGTCACAACGCTTACACAACACAGATAATAAGAATAATTGTTAGCTGCCAATCAACACAGATATCTTTGATGTTTGTCTGAACCTGGATAGGTAAGTCCTTTGCCCAAGGCTGGGGGCAGTGTCACGCCCGGTCTGGTCGTTCAATATCGCTCTGTCATAGGATCAATATAAAGAAATTCTTTAAGAATATGGGCGGAATGAATGCACGAGAAAAATTGACAATAATACATCAAACATATTATATGTCACGTCATAGAATGTAAGAGATTTAAACCAAAAAAATCGAAGATATAAGACTTTCTTATAAACAAAACGTTTACTTATTGAATTATAGAAGCAACACAGAAAATCCAATAATTCTGATAACGATCCAATATTAATTTTCTAGATTTTGTTGAAGATTGCGAACTCCGCTAGCAATGCAGCAACCTTATATTGAGAATATCCTCATTCCTTAATGTTCCCCCATGGATATCTTCTGATGCAAAGTGCAACGCTATGTTGCTAAGCAACATTCCTTTATATTTTTCATAAAAAAAAATAAATAAATAAAGTCCTGAAGTTTTGATTGCTTTTGTATGCTTCAAACAATGTTAAGACATCAAGGGAGACAAATCGGGAAACCTCAAGCAGTTAATATTTATTGGAACCGCGTACCAAAGATATTCGTGCATTCTATTTTCACTTAATTGTTCTTTCTTTAAATATCATATTTAATCTAAATGTTTAAAGGTCTTCCATTTAGTTTTATCAACCGATGGAGTTCAATAATGACCCCATATTTGGAAAATAGTGGAATATGTAACATATGCCGATATCATACTCAAACTTTATCTCTTTATGACACCACAAGACCCTTTTATTTGCTGTCATTACGTTATTAGTGGTGTTTGATATGAAACAGAACTACATTAAAAATAAACTTAAACCCTCTTAATTGAATAACATGGTCTAGTGCCTACAGTAATCACTTGGTATAATTTATCTATCATCATACAAATACGACTGACGCTTAACAAAAACAACTATGAAGAGGTCTATAATGATGATGCAGAGGAATTATATCGAATCGTTCTATTGGTTAAATCAAAAGAAAAGTATCCTTGGTTGTTAGTGGAATTCAATGTATTTAAAATATACTATCAATACCATGTTATGTTGCTTGGATAAAAAATAAGATCGTTAAAATAATGGTCATTTCGATTATTGATGTAAAAATTTGATTTTGTTATGGGAATCACTGTTACTCTAACACTGACAAAGACCATACAAAACACAACAAACTCTCTCTTTGTAAACAATTTAATTGATACTCAATCGAGATATTATTCACATATTATGATGAACATGCTGAGTCCACGCGTCATGTTTATCATGACTAGGTATATGTAATGACTGATATCTGTGATATATAACAGCATACTGAGAATGGTCCCACCGGTGGTACTATAACACACGATACGAGTTCTACAACGGATAGTACGTAGATCACCAATACAGTGTTATATAGGGATTAGCAGCTAGTCGGCAGGTCGATATGGAGAAATTTCCATCAAGCTTCCATCCGGCAGATGAGAACCGGAACCGTGGAGTGGTGTAAACAGTAGTCACTTACACTGCCCAATATCGTTCGACGGACCTTCCCAAGACCACGGGAACCAACCACTATTAAATTAGCATTTTCTTCACGAGCAACAGACAGAATTGTCTCCCCTATTTTTCCGACGTCTTCGCGGAGCTTTCCACCAATCTGATGATACAGTAAAAAAGACAATAGACCTTTGTCATACAATGGATAACAGACCAACAAAACCTTAACCTATTGGTGTTTCCAATGATGTACTAGACAGTTAGCTCAGTCAGTAACATCTCTAATCTATGTTTATTACAATAAAAATATATGAGAAACAAGAAATATTTTCCAGCGAGATTCTGATTAATTATATTGACATTTAACACTTTGTCCTTAACCTACCTTGAAAATATGTCACAATTGAAATGTTGTGAAAATTAGCCTTTGGATAAATGGACTAGTTCGCGGAGACTAAAAACATATTATGTTATTCATCTGTATGCAAATATATCATCCCTTATGCTCTACCATCTTAATGAATATTGTTTCATTTTAATGTAAATATTGAGATTTTAATAGAAAATTGAACATCTTTTCTTTATATCACTGTATTAGCAACCACCTGAACTTACCTTTGGCTGTGACAGAAAGAAAAAAACCCATTATATATCAGTTTTCTCATTCTGTTCAATATTTTAATTAATATCATGCGACACAATTTACACATCGCAACATCCTATTCACCAATACTACGAACTGTTAAGGTCAGTTAGGATACCTGATATATAATACCACTTCTTTAAAATTGTTAAATATTCACTTTGTCATTAGCTAAAATGTTAAACCATTTTACGAACTCGTTATTTATTTTTCTCTCAGATGATAGAATTATGGTATATATATACTGTCTTATGATCACATTTTGTTCTTTTGATAAGACAACTTACATTAGCGTTCTGCATTTTTTTGGTGTACTTTTGTAATATGTATTGTATCCTCTTTTGTTCCTCTTTCACCAAAACAGCCACTGTAGCAGGATCAGAGAACAGTATCGCTGGAACAAAAATCATATTAGATGTAATAAAAGTTTTCAGATTGCAAGGTCACATCTTCAAGTGGATCCTAGTGTTAAAGTAGAACATGTATGGAAACACATACAAGTTAACAGAACGTTTTTCGTCAAGTAAGCTGAACTTTGCATCATCGGGTGAAGATCCGTCGCATGCTTTAATGAGTTAATGATGTGATAAACACAGAAGCTGATTCAGGACAGACCATAATTTTAAAATTCTACATCGGAAACAAATGCATAAATGCAGAGCGCGTAATTACATATCTCAATTACAACAAAAAAAAATACCAACATGTCAACGTAATCATTATCTAACTCGAATTCTATAAAACTAGGATGAAATGTGAACAAAAGAAAGATTTATACGGAGACTTCTGAAGAAGGTACAAGAAGAAGACCAGTTGTTCCGGATGAACAAGCCTCTTCTGCTTCACCGAGATATTACTTTAGATATACGTTGTCTTAGAGACTATAAGGAAACTGTGCGGATCTTAAACCAGATAAGGAAAAATGATAATGGGAATTCACAAAATTACATTATTACATCAATGAGAACTAAGAGGCTGTAACACTATGTCAAATAACTATAAATGTAATATGCAATAAAGAAAAATCAAACAGAATGTGATATCAAAAATAGCTCGTAATTAAATTCACACTGACAACATCAGTCCAACTCGGTGTAATGCCGCAATATTTCCTACATAAAAACAAACAACAAAGAAGACAAAACCTGATAGCAAATGTCGGTACAATCGGTAAAATCAAATGGGAGGCATCAAGTCTGAAATCAAATATCTAAATAGAGAGATGTTCACATAAAAGTCTGACCAAATCACTTTAACCGACAGAAATTCCAGTACCAGCTGTATAAACAGCCATCTTCCTAACCAACTGTATTATGCTTTCGTTGTAATTAAATCGGCCTTCCTTCAAAGGTTATCATCTCATGCATGTTGTGATCTACTAAGATATTTTCAAATTGATTTCTTAACGTCAGCAAATACTGATTTATCTTCATAGTTTTAAATTCTATAGTTCTTACTTCTTAATTGTTCATAAGTCGATCATATAAGATAAAAAATGACAAATTGTAACGTATGAAGTTGGACGTGTTGAATGGTCGTTCATATGCCTGGTTGTTCTGTCATTGTTTACCTTGTTCTCGTTTTAGGAACTTGATATTACCCATTGATCAAGATTTACATAGTAGGTCTCGTCAACACTCACCTTTCATATTTTCCTCTTCTTTGAATTAAGATCATGCTGATATGTCGGTATTCTACGATCTAATTACCACGTGGTCTCTTGTGACCTCATAAATTTGACCGACGGATCAGATGAAAATAACTCTATCCATTCAAAATTCGAGAGAGTATTTTCACAGAGCTTGAAATAACACAAGCTAAGATAAATATCCTCAATGATTATATCAGAAGTGTACCTTCCCACCTAGATTTCGACATTTCTTTCGATCATTTTTTATTTCTACTGTCTGCTCTTATGTTTCAAAATATACTCCCTTAGCATAACTCAAGGACGAAAATGTATCATGCAGTTTAATCTTTGATTAGCTCTACTAAGCACTACTGTAAATAATTCGCAATTTGTATTGAAAGGTGTTATTCGCTGGTGTGTCTGTTGTACAATCTTTAGTTATCAAGGAAGTATTTTAACACTGATTAAGCTAAAACGTGGCTCCAATCGTCTCTGCATAATATTTCTAATCGGATTCCTATTTAACTTGTTTTAACAATCATGACGCCTTAGTTTTTAAGCCACTGCAATAAAACCTGTTTGGCAGGAATTATATGCTAATAAAGATGACAATCGGACCAATAACAATAAAATAGAATAATGAAAGAGCTGTAACAAAATAAGATCCGATTAATAATTATGCAGTTAATAACCAATCAGAGTTAATTAATAATATTTTATATAATTGATGATATTTAGTGCAGAGCTATCAAACCGTTTATCGGTCAAGGAATTAGATAAGTACATAGTCTTAGAGATAATATCTTATATAATTGATGATACTATCAAACCGTTTATCGGTCAAGGAATTAGATAAGTACTTAAGGTCTCACGTTAAATACATAACTCAAGCATTTATGGTCAGTTTATAGAACTGGACCTACGTCATTGAATACGTATGAAACTTCAAATTGTGAGATCAGCACGGAGTATTAAGGAACACTTGACCATTTCACATGCTTGGCAACGTGATCGTTGTCTATAAAATAGGGGCTTGCACTGTTGCTAACAGACTTGGGGAGAACGACTGGCCAGAGAACATCACCAGTGCTACTCTCTCTCCTCATTTCTCATATTCGGCCAACGGAACCTAAAACTTGTTAACTGTAGACTTTTTTTCAACTTTTCGAACTCTTTCGTTTTAACTGCATGGGAAGACTGGAGAACTCGTACTACCTGGTTGTATTGTTAAGCACCTGGAGTGTTACGAAGTACTAACTGTGAAAAACCACTATACGATGAAATAAACGTTTCGGTCAACCCAAGTAAACACTGTGTTTAGTCATTGTGTTACAGAGCATTATACAGCCTTTAAAAGAAAATATTGTCATTATTAGAGTAATTCTGTCAGCTGCCTGTATGACAGGAGGTGTCAATTCCTTCTCATTACACTAGTTTCATAAACTTTTTAACATGAGTTCACATTCGTTTGCTTCTTGAAAATAAAAGAAAAAAATAACAACAGATCAACATAATCCAAAATAAAACTAGGGCAAAATATTAACAAAAGAAATATTTACAAGACCCCGGAACATGTAAAAGGATAATAAGACCAATTGCTCCAGAAAAGTAAGCGTATTCTGCTTCACCAACGACATCTGCCATGTGGATATTGGTCAATCCAGTTAAGTAATGTCACATTCTCAGATGAGAACATGATATATACAACAACGGAACCACCAGGCACACTAACGAACACGTCCAACTTCTAACACGTAAGTTAGATATTTCCTAACGTGATCATTCTGACGATCGACCGTAAAACTTCTCTGTAACTTTTAGCAACTTGCATCTCTCAAAACCCTGTGTTAAGGTTTTTGTCTTTAGTTGCCGACATCTTGCATGAAAAATGTGAGGAATGTTGCTACCCAGAAACGGAACATTCAAAACAGGGAAATCAAAATCATTAAATCAATCATACAGCTTGCTGCAATGATGCCCTTCCCTGTTGGTCTTGTACGATAAGACAACTTATTGGGTAAGTACTTGTTCACAATCATCAACAATACGCCTGACGGAAAATGATAACATCAATATTTCAAAATTTCAGGTTTTGTAGAGTGAATTTCAAAAGACGTTGCACGTTAGTACTAATAGAACCGCCACGATACAGTTAATTCAGCCATCGATCGAAGACGTAAGTGTTTGTTTTTCAATGCAAGGAACATTACACAATAATTTGATACATTTTACTTTAAGTACAAGTCGTCGTGACTTCTGTATCGATTGTATTGATATCATCTTATACTCACAGCTGTTGAAGATACCATGATACTCTGGAACCGTTACCAACACTACGCTGTCCTCTTCTCTCTTCACATTCTGTATGTAGACTAGAACGATACCACAATGTTATCATGATTCAAAGTAATTTGTTTTTCTACAGAAACACTATAAAGAGCAGAACTATTCATTGTAAAATGTTGTGCTATTTCGGATTTTAAAAAATAGAGAATTTTAAATTAAAAATGAAAACTACAGCCCGTTTCATGACAAACTTTGATAGTATATCATGTCTGCTTGAGATTGTTGGTAAAATCGCTAAAATCTTAACCGCCTGGAAAAACAGTATTTAAAGTAGTCTTGCTTTAAGAACTACAAGACTTAATTCATGTACCTTTGAAAATTGTAAGTGCTCGCACTTGGCAGGAACGGCTGCCCCGTAAAGAATTTGGCATGCTCTCAATACACTATGTTTACATCCTCTAGCACGTCTATTTTCTTTAGTAATAAACACAAACGTTTAGTTTCATCACCTGCGTCATAACGTGCCCCTGATACCCTCTGGGACTATAACTATTAAACTACATAATGTTCAATCCATTCTATTGCAGCCTAAACTGTTTATCAAACCTGATACGTTGAACGCGCGCCTCCAGCTAAGGAATAGCGTACCTATTAGTGGACTTCAACATCAATAAATGTGACTTCATTTAGGATTTAGAATGAAAACGCCGTCGATAACTTCAGATCAAGATCTTAAAGAATTTGAAGATGAAAGAGGTATGCCTCTGTATGATAAAACATACTGAGGGATACCTGAAGATTTATGGAATACTTGAAACTAATTGTTGAATATCAAGTATGCTATTGATTATCTATTATCACGTGAAGTGTGTCTTGGAGAAATTTCACTATTTCCCGTAGCTGATCTACATGTATATTTCACACATTATATTTATACAATATAAGATCCGATACATAAGCTACGGAAATTAGTTTTTAAGAAGTTACTTGTTACAGTCACTTTGCTTGTGTTCAGTAAATACGAAACAAATACGCGCAGAGTATATGTGTATGTGTTGTCTTTCTATTCTAATATATTAACGATCTCATATACAACCGTGACTAATGGATAATCGGGGATGTTAATTAACCTATAGCTGGAAGCACCCACAGGAATTAGAAGATGAAAGACAACAGTGAAGGAAATATCATTTCAGAAGTGAAGTTTCATTATCGCAACGTTCCTCTACAACACCGATCCCAGATTAATGATAATTTACTTCCTCCCAATTCTTTCTGGCATATTTCACAGGAATATCCTCAAGGCGTGTTGAAACCCTATGTAAACTGCTGTCGATAACAAGAAAATCCCCTCGGTATTGACGAGTTCTGTATGGGATATTATAAGCAGAAAGCATTCGCAATTATGATATTAGGGTAACAACTTTATCATCATTTAACAAAACATGCACCACGTAGTCACAGCTTAAATACGCTCAACTTACAATCGAATGCATATTCTGCGTCTTCACTCTCGTCTATGGCCACAACGACTGTTCGCTGACCGCTGCAACTTTTCTGACCATCTGTAGATTCCGCCATTATTATATCCTTGACCTGGTTGTGACCTCTCTTCGTTGTAATCAATTTGCTTCGCTCAGCGTCGGTCTGCTACTTTTGCCTAAGTCATACACAGGTTCTTTCATCGATAACATGCTCATGTAGCTTGATGTTTTTGTAACCTTTGATAAAGTTCCTTAGCTTTATAACACGAATAAAAAGTATATCTCTATGGAACGCCAAACATTTGACAATGAGTGATGCTTTGCACACTGAGGGTTTTGCTCGCTCCTGTTCAACAACTTGCGATGGTCTATCTACCACTAGGGGTTACACGGCGCTTGTAAGCAATACAACACGTAAAAGTTTAGATAACGATGAGTACACGTGCGTTTCGCAGTAGCAACGGGGGTCGGCAGTGAGTCGATACACTTGCAACATCTACATTAGTTCCGACGATTCATGAACCAAAATTCTCTTTGCATGGAGTTATTTATTTCAGTTCCAATTAATTATATAAAGATACTGCCAACATCCTAAAGATCCACATCAGGTGTCTAACATGATTTATAGGGTAATAACACACCGGCGCTGTAGACAGATCCATTCTCAACATCAGGCATGGAACGGTTAACATGTGCATAGACCAACACTAAAGTCATTAATCAAATGCATTGAAAGAACAGAACGGAGGTTAGCGATAGTGAGCGTGAAGACGGTTACAGAATACACGATCCTAACAAACGTAACATTGTAGTCTAGTTCATGCAACAGCATTGCGGTCAAATATTATGTCACCTTTGATATTTTTCCCATTCTGTAGACATACATGGCTTGGAGTTGTCACTTGTGAAGATATTCAGATTTGAAGATATATAGACATTGTTGCGTTTGAGATGAACGCAAAAAAGTGTATGACTGATAGTTGCAACAACAATCAGAAAACTATTTATAACTATTGGTAAAATTCAAGGTTAAAAGATACACCTTTATATCACAAAACCAAGTAAGTGGGATTAAATAGTGTACTTATTTTACAAGGATAAAGTAAACGTGGGAATATTGCATTGTAATAATGACAAATGGAAAAATAATTAAACACCAATTTGTCGGCATGATCATAATCCAAACTCGGATTCATTAAAACTAAGACAAAATTTTGACAAAAGAATTATTAACACGGAGACTCCTGAAACTGAACAAGGATAATAAGACGAGATGTTCTGGAGGAGTAAACGTCTTCGGTTTCATCGACTACATCCGCCGTATAAGCCTTGGTCAATCTTAGTAATGTCAGGTTCTCAAATAAGAACAAAGGTATACAAAGTAGAACCAGTAGGCAAGCTGATAAGCATCAAACAAATAGAAACGTTGGAACTAGGGGACCAGGATATTGGAAATTGAACAATAGCCTTGTTAACAATATAGAATACCAGTACATGATATTAAAAATATTAAACAAGTGAATTAATGATGAACTGACAAAATATACGAATTATATGGGACTATTAAATAGAAAAAAGATGAAAATCTATACTTTTTGGGTAAAAATAGCAAATTTGAGAAAAAATTTAATCTAAAGCAGAAACTGAAAGAAAAACGAAAATCATGCAAATGCAGAGGAAATAAAGATGATTGAAGACCGAATAGAAACACAATATGTATGCAAAGGTATCGGTCATCAGATAAGACCTCGATCAAAATGGAAGGAGGAAGGGGGAAATACAAAATATTTTCTGTCACTTGAAAAAGATCGACAGAGACAGAAATCCATTAGTAAACTATATGATGAAGACGGTAGTATATTGACAAACCAAGGTGATATATTGAACAGACAAAAACGATTTTATGAAGAACTATTCACCACAAGAAACCCAATACACACGAAATACATCAATATATATATAACATCAATTAACCTAGAGAATATATCAAGGGATGCAGACAGCGATAAGTGTGGAGGTCTTTTGGGTGAGGGAGAATGTTCTAAAGCAATATGTTCGATGAAATCAAATAAATGCCAAGGATCTCATGAATTGACAATAGAATTTTACAGAACGTTCTTTCCACACTTGAAAAAAATACTTGTTGATTCATTAAATGCAGAAAAATATCTGAATCACAACGAATTGGGGTTTTATCGCTTTTGTATGAAACGATTATCACCGTGATCTTAATAACTGGAGGCCAAACACTCCAAAAAAAAAAAAAAAATCCAAAAAATTCTCAAAACAAGATGTGAACATATTGGACTGTCTTCATAAGTGATACTGAAATTTAACCTAGTCCTTTGACAAAACTTGCATCAATCGGTCAGCTATGAAATTTCATCAAACTATCGGTCATCTGTCTATTCTACAAAGAAATGAAAACAATATTATTAAAATATATGGGCAAATCAAAGACATCAACACGTATCAGAACTACTATTCACAAATCGTCCATTAAATGCACGGGGCTTTTCATAACTTGTAACCTTTGACCTCCGCCGCCATATGGTCTAGTTAGAAACTCTGAATAATTCCTAAAAAGGTTTATTGTCTCGGATATATATGTAAACGATATAAATACGTACCGTCTGTGGTATAAATAACAGTTTCTTTCCATAAATAAATTAGTCAGGCGTCGTCTACTGTTACAAGGCTAGCTCGGCATACTACTTCCCAGACAGTGGAGATACATGCAACTAAACAGCCAACAAAATGCAGGAATTTAATAACATATTGACGAGTCATGTAACATAACAACACTTAACCAATTCGTAGCAGCAAAATATCCGAGAAACAACGAAATTCACTCCACGAATACTTCAAAAAATTGTGTGTGTAGATGTGTTGTACTTATATTTCATATTAATATTAATGACATGAGAAGTGTGGATGATGTGTGTAAGTATGCAAGTTCTCCTTTGTGAGGACTAATTTGTAATGTTATTTATGTCTTGTCTTAGTCAATCAAATGGTTTGCAGTAAATAAACAAAAAGCTAAAGGAAGAGAGTTAGCGAGAGGAAAGTAAGAGGTAAAGGACAAAACAGTAGAGAGAGGGAAACTAGAGGTAAAGGACGAAGAGGTAAAGAGAGGGAAACTAGAGGTAAAGGACGAAGAGAGGGAAACTAGAGGTAAAGGACGAAGAGAGGGAAACTAGAGGTAAAGGACAAAACAGTAGAGAGAGGGAAACTAGAGGTAAAGGACGAAGAGGTAAAGAGAGGGAAACTAGAGGTAAAGGACGAAGAGGTATAGAGAGGGACACTAGAGGTAAATGACGGAGAGGTAAAGAGAGGGACGCTAGAGGTAAAGGACGAAGAGGTAAAGTGAGGGAAACTAGAGTTAAAGGACGAAGAGGTAAAGAGAGGGAAACTAGAGGTAAAGGACGAAGAGATAATGAGAGGGAAACTAGAGGTAAAGGACGAAGTGGCAGCGAGAGGAAAGCCAGAGGTCGATATAAGTAATTAATATAGCGTTGTGTTAGTTAAATTAACATCCCCGCGTGCCTTGTAAAGTTTATGTAGAAGTGAGTCTCTGTCTATCTATTGAAAACACGTGTTTCTGTATCTAGAAAAACTTTATTGTCTTTTTGAATCTCTGTGGAATTTATGATAGTTGTTAAAATGGGTCTACGCATACTTTTTTTATCTTATAAATGCAATAAAACAGAATGTTTCTCAATGAGATCACTATGACGACCGTAAAAAGTGCTCTACACTTAAACTGTTAATAGTGTAGATGTATGTAGAATTCTCATTCTATTTTTGATGATTAGCCAATATTATGAACATTCCAACCACACACGTCCATGATAGCTTTTTGGTTTTACAGATATTAAGAGAAAACAAAATCGACGGGACAGAAGCAAGGCAACGATGAAAGAATTAGCAAAATAACAGGCACCAAGACAATCGAAATTTTTGACAACTCAAACAGAGCTTTAAAAGGAAATAAGAAAGATGAATGATTTCCTTTTTCTCCTATCGAAGTTCATATAGAGCGTACTGCTCAGTCCATGTGTACACAGACATTATGAATATAAATCAGCGTAATTGTGGACAGTGTGACGTTCTAACTGACTAACATACATGATATATTAGTGCGACGTTTTAGATAGCTTAACAAGATGATGTTTTATGTGATTCAATAGTGTCAGATTTTAAGCGATTAAAACACTAGTAGTATAACGTTTAAAGTGATTAAATGGACATAATAATCAAATCCATTTGTTCTGTCAGCACTAACTTGATTTATTGAATCATTGGTTTACATGACATCAATGAAGTAGAAGACGCTTACTCTTCCTGAACATCTGTTCTTATTCTCCTTGTACTTTTTCGGGAGTCTCCTTATAAATCTTTTTTTTTTAATTCTGGGTCTGTTGAAATATCGGTATTGTTTTTTTAATTATTTTTTTTTTTTGCTGATTTCTCTATCCGATATTCTCCAATTCGACCAATGTGATTTGCCTTGCTCGCCCCCAATATTTCAACCATTTATGCCACTAGCATAGACATACTTTGATTTGGAGGCTGAGAACCGTATCTTTGCCTTTTATGTTAACTTGAATAGCTTTCGTACAATCCACTCAATATAAAGAACCCATAATTTCTTTGACGTCGAATTGCTATATCGAGAGTATGTTAGATAAACCGCTAATGCTATTTTTACGCTACCTTGTCATCAATAATGGTGGGGTAATGATGAGGGAAATACGCCCGTACTATTTACACAAGGACGTGTATCATTTGTAATCCTCTATTAGGTAAAACCAAGTAGCTTCCTTTAACCAGATCAGACCCCTATCATAACATCGTTTTCTTCTTCAGATCAATACCATGTCACCACTGAGTTCATTAAGTTGTTTTTCTAGGAAATAGACAAATTGATATCTAATATGTTTACAGGTTTCTCACATACATCACATGATCTGGAAAGGTATAATCGGAACGCCCAATGGATATTTATAAGGTCGTTCAACACTTAAAGATGTCGAGTCAGTATACCAACTATGTATAGGAATGAACCAGCATAAGTTCTAATCGAAATACAGTACTTTTGTAATGAAGCAATAACGCAATGAAGACGTCAAGTGCCGTACAGTCCGAAAACCTCTGCTGGCAACCAATGAAAGAGAAATATAGCTCTTTAGTGTTATTGGCTTAAATAGTCGTACTTTTCTGACAATGTCACGTATGGGTTAACTGTTGGCATATGTCCATAGTTAATTAATAGCTGACATGATACAAACAATTACGGAAGTACAGAGAGAACAGCTGGTATATTTTTCTGTTACGTGCGCACGTACTCGTGGTATTGGTATACTTATTTTCCCCTATTACGCGTGCACGTGATAACTTAGATATGTATATTTTTCTTTTGCGTGCGTTTCTTTTCATACCTTTTTGTGTATATTTACCTATCACGTGCGCACGTTATAGGGGGAAACATATCACTGATTTTAATACGTGTGCACGTGATGGATAAAATAGACCTGCTGTCCCCTCCGTACCTCCATATATCTGTACAACTACTAATCAGTTTCTTTTTTTAAATGGCGCCATTCCCAAAAGTGCAAATCAGCATGAACTGAGATCTTCTTGAAATTGCAAGTTTAAGTTCAATGAATATGGAAAAGATGGCGTTAGATTGTTAGTAGAGGATGAGAATAGGATATTTCTTCCTGTTAATACTGTAACGGATTCGTGTTTGGAATCTATTGTAAAACATCTGACAGGAAATTGGAGGTTAACGTATAAATCTATAGTTAGTAAAGAATCAAAAGAAAATCGATTTCTGTCTATGCCTTCAGAATCTATACCAAAGATTGGTACTTGATATGCTTTGAAAATGTTACAAAAATGTTGTAATAAAATTATCCTAATTTACCTTCTGGTTTTAACATGAAAGGTCAGCAATGATGGGTTATGGGACGACGAAATATCACTGACGAGTTATGAAAGGACGAAATATCACTGACGAGTTATGAATGACTAAACATCACTGGCGAGTTATAGAAGGGCGAAACATCACTGGCGAGTTATAGAAGGGCGAAACATCACTGGTGCGTTATGGAAGGACGAAACATCACTGGCGAGTTATAGAATGACGAAACATAACTGACGAGTTATAGAAGGGCGAAACATCACTGACGAGTTATGAAAGGACGAAATATCTCTGACGAGTTATGAATGACAAAACATCACTGGCAAGTTATAGAATGACGAAACATAACTGACGAGTTATAGAAGGGCGAAACATCACTGGCAAGTTATAGAATGACGAAACATAACTGACGAGTTATAGAAGGGCGAAACATCACTGACGAGTTATAGAAGGGCGAAACATCACTGACGAGTTATAGAAGGGCGAAACATCACTGACGAGTTATGAAAGGACGAAATATCTCTGACGAGTTATGAATGACGAAACATCACTGACGAGTTATAGAATGACGAAACATCACTGACGAGTTATAGAAGGACGAAACATAACTGACGAGTTATAGAAGGGCGAAACATCACTGACGAGTTATAGAAGGACGAAACATCACTGACGAGTTATAGAAGGGCGAAACATCACTGACGAGTTATGAAAGGACGAAATATCTCTGACGAGTTATGAATGACAAAACATCACTGGCAAGTTATAGAATGACGAAACATAACTGACGAGTTATAGAAGGGCGAAACATCACTGACAAGTTATAGAATGAGGAAACATAACTGACGAGTTATAGAAGGGCGAAACATCACTGACGAGTTGTAGAAGGGCGAAACATCACTGACGAGTTATAGAAGGGCGAAACATCACTGACATTAGGACAAAACAGTAAATTCGCGTTTAGACATATAGTGTACTTTATCTAATAAGACGTTTTACTGAAACGTGTTCCTCACTTCTACATGTTCTGGATTTTTTTTTTTATTATTATTTTACCAAAATCAAAATTTTAAGATTTCTCTGATTATACAGGCTTAGTTATTGATAACGTATTGTCTTTACATCACAAGAATTTGTTTGACCACGCCCATTACATATACCTACCAAAATTGGAAATCAAAGATACGACATACTTCTACATCTCCCACTTATCGCGGTATTTTCCTACAACGAAAACTAAATAAACAGCTTTTCGCCCAGCATAATGATAAACGTGATGATTTCAATTTTCCCTTTTCTGGATAGCAATACTCCTATATCCCCGACCTATAGTGTTAACATGTTGCAATTGATTTGAAATCCAAGGAAATCTTCCTTTTATCACGATTATCGTGCAGGAAGTCGTAAATTAACAGATAAACTCGAACTACAAAAATGTACGGGGTTTAAAAAGATGAAGTTTAATGAAAATGATAAGGAAGTTCTCATTTAAGATATGCATTAATCTCATAATTCGAAGAAATGTTATGAATTGTAACAGTAATTATTTTCAAAACATGGAAGTTTGTACATAGAAAAACCCCCTGAACGTTTGGAATTAAAAAAAAATAAAAGCTTTTTTTGATTGCCGTAAATTATGCATTACTTGATCGATTTTCTTTGTAATAGTATTACATAAACCTGCAAGTGGCTCTGAAAATCACTTTCTCATTAAACGAGGTGCTGTTGAGACAGTAATGTTCTATGCTCCTTACATGCCTCGTATTCGCATCAGCATCACAATATCATAATTACGTACCTGATCATGCGGGTTTGTGCATTGTTAGTATCTATCATATCTCAGATTTGTTGGTAAGTTTTATTTTCAACATACAACCGTCTTTTCTATTTCTGTTAAGCTTTTTTCTCCCGAATCTTAACTTTAAAACGTTCACATACTAATGAATTTAGTAATACTACATGTTTTCAAAGCATTATGCAAAAACGAAAGCCTAAACTCATCTATATGCTGACTAAACTGTGAAAGAAAAGGGCCAATCTAATATCAGACTCGGTCCTCTCTCGGTCGATTGTGTCGGTTTCCGACAAACGTCGTGCAAATATGTCAATAATATATGATGTAAAATCGCGTGCAGGCACCGTAATCAATAAATTACATAAAGTTTTGATGAATGTGATTAAATTACAAATCAAGAAAACTTGAGGCCTCAGGGAAATTTACTGAAACAATGAACGATGGAAAGCCAGAATGAGACAGTCCTCAGGGACAATGCTACAATCAAACACACACAGCGATCTCCGTTAGAAATGGAAGGTTACATGAAAAGGCGCCGAGAAATATTTACATTGAAACACAAGCTGATTCCGTTGGCTTCGTTTGGATTTTGAGCTCTGAGATGGAAATTGTTTTGGATCCTTTGAGAACCTCCCTAATTAATCGGCCCTACTGGTTTCCACTCCGAGATAGGTAGTCGGTAAACAGCAAGCGACTACTGAGCTCATGTCTCAAGTAGCAGCGATATGGACGGTCTAATTCCGGCTTTATATCTTAAGAGGGTTATAAACGCTGTAGCAATAATTGCTCTCTGCGTCTTCACGCCTCTCATAACCATTCTCAATGGATTCGTTCGTTGAAGTCGGTCCCGTCTTTTTGAAGATGTAGATTGGATTTATTTGGCATTCTTTTAGTTCAATATTGTGTGAGATCATTTTATAACTACGTCAGTGTGTTTCCCGACGATGGAGAACCATGTTTTAATCACCGTGTTTACAATAGGTTTACTGACACCTCCAAACTATGCGTCGGATGGGGGATTTCCTAGCTTTAAAATGAGCAATGAGGATTGTACTTACGAACTAAACGTGAAAAATAATCTGATAAATGTTTCTTGTGGCCGAAATGTTACTGTTCGCATACACGATAAAAACGGCGTAATTTCCATGACGGGCCGGAAATCGGACAATCTATGGTTTCAAAATGGCGCCCGGCCCGGTGGTGGATTATTTCGACCAAACAAAACTTCAGCAAGTTTTGGAGTAAACAACAGGGCATCTTCTAAACTTAAAGACTCCACAACGATTCTGAAAAGGATGAAGAAGAAACTGGTGTACAGACAGAGAGTGTTAAATAATATTACAACGGATCTGAAAAATGGCGACGTCGAAGTACAGAACGATCTTTCACGATTGAGAGATCTACAGGCGGGCAATGCTCTCGCCCTAGAAAACGTTGCAGCAACGTTGACTAACCAGTATAGGTTTCTAAGCATGGCTATGCTGGCTCAGAACGCCGAAATGAAGGCGTTGATTAATACAATGAACTCACTGATAGTGGCGACTCAAAAATCTGTTCGGGGTAGCCTGGCTGTTAACGATCAACTTCAGGAGGAAATTGTCCTCTTGAACACGGCCCTTCAGCGGGCTAACATCTCCAAACCAGAAAAAAGAAAAGGTAAGTTTTATATGTTCCATAGGGCAGTCATACGAGTTCAGATCTCCTCCAGTTATTAAGTACAAATCATTTTTTTTTACAAACTTAATCGTTCACAAGTAAAACCACTTCCTATTTTACCTATTGTATTTTGTGATTTATACATATTAATGACTGCCTTGTTCAAAAACATAAAAAATGAGAAACGATATTGATGACGTCCATCAACATATGTATTTAAACTGTCACTGCTCTATATACGTAATTGATAAATTCATTGAATACGTAATGAACGACGGTAATCATGTATGTAAGACAAAAACATGGCGAATATTTGTTGACGTGGTGATATATTTAAGTTGAGGTTATTTATAAATCTTTGATGACGATTTTATAAATTTACACGTGATTTTCATATATATTCACAAAAGAAGATTTTTTCACGTGAAAATAAATTAGATTAACTTTCATTATATTGTAGTAACAGAAACTGCGGGAAGTATTTTGTGTCAATATTACCTTGAGTTGGGACAACAGTTAAGATGTCAGAGTGTATATATTTGATTCATAGTAAAATTCATCTGGTCTTTAGATATTTTTTATATCTTCGTTTTCGAAAACAAAATATCCTGATTAATTTCGTATCAACAATTTTGTCCGTATCGTATAAATGCATCACAAAATAAGTTATCGACATTTCCACATTTTAGATAATAAAATGACGTCACACATTCAAATTGCATTGTGACGTACCAATAGCAACGATTTTTATAAAAGAAAAATGATTTATGTTGTGACATGAACATGTCCGTCTTCTGCCATATTTGCTTGAAAAATCGATCGAGTGATAAAAAAAAAACTTAAATTCATTTCCATTTTGATATGTGATTTATGAAACTTGTCATGATTTTTATACCATAGCTCTCCAGACTCGTTTCATAAATTCACAAAAACAAATGAAACTCATATCAGATTCTATTTGTAGATAAATTATACCAGTATTTCATGCTATAAAGTAGAGTAATATGAAAACAAAAACCTGGTACAAATTGATACAGGTGTCACTAGTGTGAGGTAATGATGGAATACTGACACAAACTAGTTCAGTGTGCGACCATTCTAGGTTATGTGTAATACTGACACAAACTAGTTCAGTGTAATATTAGTTGGTCATGTGTCACATTTATTGAGTATGTGATACATGACCTGAGTATGAAATAAAGTTGACTATGTAACAAACTGGTCAATTAAGTGACAAACTAGTTGATTATGTGACAAACTTGTTGAGTATGTGACAAACTAGTTGAGTATGTGACAAACTACTTTAGTATGTGACAAACTGGTTGATTATGTGACAAACTAGTTAAATATGTAACAAACTGGTTGAGTATGTGACAAACTGGCTGAAAATGTGACAAACTGGTTCAGTATATAACAAACTACTTGAGTATATGACAAACTACTTTAGTACGTGACAAACTAGTTGAGTATGTGACAAACTAGTTAAGTATGTGACAAACTACTTTAGTACGTGACAAACTGGTTGAGTATGTGACAAACTAGTTAAGTATGTGACAAAATGGTTGAGTATGTGACAAACCGGTTGAGTATGTGACAAACTGGTATGTGACAAACTACTTTAGTACGTGACAAACTGGTTGAGTATGTGACAAACTGGTTGAGTATATGACAAACTAGTTAAGTATGTGACAAACTGGTTGAGTATGTGACAAACCGGTTGAGTATGTGACAAACTACTTTAGTACGTGACAAACTGGTTGAGTATGTGGCAAACTGGTTGAGTATGTGACAAACTGGTTGATTATGTGACAAACTGGTTGAGTATGTGACAAACTAGTTTTGTATGTGACAAACTGGTTGAGTATGTGACAAACTGGTTCAGTATACGACAAACTGATTTATTGAAGAAGAACATAGTTTAACAGCGAATAAATTGCACTGCGTTACTGGTTATATTTAAATCCACTCCTCAAACTATTAAAAACTAATGAGTGTTACGTAACTGATGCTAAATTGTGAACGAGTTCTTTAAATAGGCTATCATCGCGGCTGCAAAATTCAATAAATCATCGTCAAACTGCATTACTGTCAAAATAAGCTGCAAATTGAATACAATTGCCGCTTGAAAAAAACGCAAGGAAATCATCCATCACTTACGGTTTCCCCTGTGGAAGGGAGGAACTGATGGGCGAGGAAAGCAGTATGATATCGCCTTGTTAATCTTAACTCTGGGAATTCCTGGGGAATATTTTGACATATAAGTGATGTTTATTTTCTGAATGGCGCTTACAGAATCGATTTTCGTTCTAGACGTCGACACTGCTAAGAATGTAACATGAACATTTGTTAATTCTTCAGATGAATTGTATTGTAAAAGAATCGGACACTAATTAGATTAGGGAGAAAATTAGCAAGTATCATTGGCAAGGCCATAGGTCATAGATTATTCAGAATACTTCGACAAAAATCAGGATGTTAAGGAAACGCACCTTGAACCCAAAACACATGCTGGTTATAACCGTCTTAATCATACTCCCTTATTTAAAACACTGGTGATCATGTCTTTTATATTAACAAACACATATAAATGTAAATCTACCACTTAGTGTAACAAAGTACCTGTCACACATCTTTATTTTAAGTGACTTCAGTGCTCACTTTTAATACGTTTCCAACATCAAACTAGGATCTGCTCGTACAAGTTAAGAGGGAGATTCAGAATACAAGATACAAGATTGATGTGATGTTGTTTTTAGACACTACACTACAACATTAATTTCTAATAACACTTACGTTTTCTGACTTTTATTGAAACAGTAAAGTACGTTTAAGCCTCTACCGCCGTTCCCTGTAACTCTATCATTTCTGGAAAGTGTTTTTAAAAAAAACAATTTTTGTTTTTACAAATAATGACGTCATAGAAATACCTACAACACCACTCGAGCCCTCGTATTATTGATGAGATAAACATATGAATATATTGTTCTGGCACTGCATGTTCAAAAGTATACATCGTATATACAAACTAGACGACGGAAGATTATTTATTGGCTAAGTTCCATTTTGTTCGAGGAAGCAATTCAAACATGCTAAGTATTACCACTGCCTGAAGTGTTGTACATGTCAACTCTTGATTAATACGAGAAATATGTGAACATCCAACACTGCCTTCGTCTACCGGTTAAAACATGTTTGATAAATAGAGAAACGAACTATATCAAATTTCATCAATTATTTTGAAAGCTGATAATATACACACTCTAGAATGACTGAAGCTTATTTACCGTTTTTATTGCGCAGTTTGTGAACATCATTTGCCAACAGCTTAACCGATCGTGTTCTACACACGGTTACATAATTCAACAGCAAAACCAACAGAGGATATTGGATGTTTGCCAACATCATTGTTTCGTGCGGAATTAGCCTTATCATTCCGCTGAAGTACCTAGCACACCTACTTTGTTGAGAATTGATGAAATGAAGTTAAGAGATGTAAAAAACATTCTTTTACAGCGAAAGTGAAGCTGTACTGGCACCTAAACATAGGTTGTCTTGGTTCTGTGTTATATAGGCGTGACAGGATCATACAAAGGGCAGACAAGTGAGAATAATTCATTTACAAATTCAATAATATGATGAAATACATTGCCTTATTCCCCTCGAAAAAAAAACAACTAAATCATAATTACCATTTTTAAAAGATATAAAATTTGATTCAAACAGTAAGATACGTTATATTTTATTTATTTGGTATTTCGATGAACTAATTTTTTAAACGGTTCTGTGTTTTGGCATATTTAAGTTCTCACTTGAATTGTGACATAAAACACTATTTTTATAGAGGTGCCATCAGTATCATGGCATATTACCCAGGTATATGTGCATTATTTAAAATTGTAGCTGGGTTTGGGTTAACACGACAATGCAAATATGTATACTAACCAACAGTGATTGTAATCCCGATATCTCTAAGTGACCATTGTCACGTCATTATTGCCGACTCAGAAACGACGAAACGTTGAGACAACTTGGACAACAACATCCATTGTGAATAAAAAATAAAGAAGCATTGACCTGCCTTTTTCTGGCAAAGAATATTGTGATATTTTTACTCAAGTGAAATAAGTTTTGATATTTGTTCTCATTTTTAACCAATGAGATCGTGGCATTCGCAGACAAAATAACAATTCTCCCAGAATGCATTGCAAACTTCAGGAAATTACTTTTTTGGTAGAGATAGCCAAGCTCTCGTTTTACTGTAATGTGATAATTCTGTACAATATGAATTTGAAAAAATAGTGTTTGGTATGTTGAATTAATGTTAATTGTTTTACATTAAGTATTCATCTTGGTAATATATGAATTTGATAATTAAAGAGTTTGGTATGTCGCTTATTTTATGTTAAATGCATTGCTGTAAATATTTACCCTGGTAGATATGAATTTGATAAATAGAGGCTATGTTATGTATACTGGTTTTATGTTAAATGGTTTGATGGTATGTGTGTTAGACGTGAAGGTGTGATGATAAAAGAACACACTTATCAGATTTAGATAGAGCGGGAAAAATCAAACTGCTATCAATGAAAGGTATGAGAAATGTTACAAAAATATCGGGGTGAACATTTTAATATTTTTCTTTTCAGGTAAGTTTCCATCACTGAGATATGAGATATAACTTTAAGTCATCAAGAAAAAAAGAGATAATTGTCTATATATTTCGCATATGCATGTGATAGGATGGTACCATAGTTTGCTATCTACAACTAAAATAACTAAAATTACATATTCGCATTAATTTATTTATAGAAATCTCGACACAACACCTCGTTCAAACTGACATTGATAACATAGCCAATTCTAAAAACGAAATTTTATCTCCACACACGAGAAACTGACTTGAACTTCCTTTTGTCATACACGACATATCATGTACACTGGCGTGAAGACCGGTAAATAATCTTTCCAGGACGACATTGTATTATATTAATCCAATTCTGAAAACATATGTTTACATATTTCCATTTTACTGTCATTATTTATCAACAAGTATGATCAACTCCCTCATTCGTTGTTATGATTTACGTGAATCCTGGACGCTCCTTTGCTTTATTCCTACCTGAAGGGTTTAATATCGTATCTCATTTTCAAAAATCATATTTGTAGCATTTCATGATTATCGCCTTCAGATCGCAATTCACGGCTGCAGTGTTGTTTGATCCCGTGATATGAAACAGGTACTAATCTAATTTGGACATGTTTTTGTGTGAGATTTTGCACAATTTCTCTGTGTCCAAAAATACTCGGTATCTTTGCATGTCAAGTATATTTTTTAACAAAATAAGCACTACAGAGTTATCTCAACACAATAAACACTACACAGTTATCACAACACAATAAACACTACACAGTTATCTCAACACAATAAACACTACACAGTTATCACAACACAATAAACACTACACAGTTATGTCAACACAATAAACACTACACAGTTATCACAACATAATAAACACTACACAGTTATGTCAACACAATAAACACTACACAGTTATCCCAACACAATAAACACTACACAGTTATCTCAACACAATAAACACTACACAGTTATCTCAACACAATAAACACTATACAGTTATGTCAACACAATAAACACTACACAGATATCTTATCACAATAAACACTACACAGTTATCTCAACACAATAAACACTACACAGTTATCTCAACACAATAAACACTACACAGTTATCTCAACACAATAAACACTACACAGTTATCACAACACAATAAACACTACACAGTTATCTCAACACAATAAACACTACACAGTTATCTTATCACAATAAACACTACACAGTTATCTCAACACAATAAACACTACACAGTTATCTCAACACAATAAACACTACACAGTTATCTCAACACAATAAACACTACACAGTTATCTCAACACAATTAACACTACACAGTTATCTCAACACAATAAACACTACACAGTTATCTCAACACAATAAACACTACACAGTTATCTCAACACAACAAACACTACACAGTTATCTCAACACAATAAACACTACACAGTTATCTCAACACAACAAACACTACACAGATATCTTATCACAATAAACACTACACAGTTATCTCAACACAATAAACACTATACAGTTATGTCAACACAATAAACACTCAACACAATAAATACTACACAGTTATCTCAACACAATAAATACAGTTATCTCAACACAATAAATACTACACAGTTATCTCAACACAATAAACACTACAGAATTATCACAACACAATAAACACTACACAGTTATCACAACACAATAAACACTACACAGTTATCTCAACACAATAAACACTACACAGTTATCGCAACACAATAAACACTACACAGTTATCACAACACAATAAACACTACACAGTTATCTTAACACAATGAACACTACACAGTTATCTCAACACAATAAACACTACACAGATATCTTATCACAATAAACACTACACAGTTATCTCAACACAATAAACACTACACAGTTATCTCAACACAACAAACACTACACAGTTATCTCAACACAACAAACACTATACAGATATCTTATCACAATAAACACTACAGAGTTATCTCAACACAATAAATACTACACAGTTATCTCAACACAATAAACACTATACAGTTATGTCAACACAATAAACACTACACAGTTATCTCAACACAATAAACACTACACAGTTATCTCAACACAATAAACACTACACAGTTGCTCCAACAAATCACATTTTTTGTTTGAACTTTAGTCACATTAATCATGACGGACGCAAATAAAACAAATAAAACGGATAAAATTTTGGTCGAAAGTACATTGTTGTACTTCATACAAAAAATGTACAAAAACAATTTCTTCTTGTTGCATTTAGTGTCAAAATATTTATGATATTTTTTATTAGAAAACATCTTAATAGCTCTTAAATGGTGTAGTACTGAATCGACGATTTGTGAAGTGTCTCATATACCATGACTGTTGCCTTATACTGCTGGTAATAGACCAAAAGAGGTGTGAATAGTATTATTGGAAGTTGTGCAAACGACTGACACAGTGTCACTTTGTCTGATGAGAATATCGACTACGTACATAACCCATGATTCATTCTCAGGTTTTGCTATGTTATACAGTTTTCGCTAACTTATCTTATTTCTAATTCATTTTATCGCTGTTTTGCAGATTTCTGTCCGAGGCACTTGGCGGCTATTCTACCTGGGGGTGAGGAGCTGCCGGTCGGTATCGCACAGGGAACATTTATGAAGGATCCTATTCCAGGGGGACAGATATGGGTGACCTACGGCTATAGTGATCTCAATGAAATAGCCGAGTTCGATTCTCATCAGTCTTTCACCTTCGACACTGCCACAAAGAAGCATACACTTCCGTTCTTTTGCGAAGGCACTGGTCACGTGGTATACAAAAACTGTCTGTACTGTCATAAAGTGATGACAAATAAGGTTGTCAAGTTTAATCTTATTGAGGGACGCTGGGTTGGCGAGCTGCCCCTCCCAGGCGGGGTCGGATCCCACAATACGTTCCCCTACGAGTCGGGTATTTTTACGGATGTGGATTTCGCTGTGGATGAACTCGGCTTATGGGTTATCTACGCGACACAGACATCTAGAGGACACATCGTCATAAGTAAACTTGATGACCTCAATTTCATCGTCGCCCAGACCTGGACGACGGACATATCCAAGGTGGACGTCGGCAACGCATTCATGATCTGTGGTGTTCTTTATTGTGTTGATTCCTACAAAAAAGTTCCAACGTACATCAAATATATCTATGACACGAACAATGGCGGCAAAAGGATTTTGACGGAGAGTGTTCTTCCATTCAAAAATTCTATCAGCACCAACTACGCTCAAAACTACATGCTTGATTATAACCCGCTGGACGAGAAATTATACGCTTGGAACCATGGCCGGATCGAGATCTACAATCTGTCCCTTGAGTCTGATTAAAAAGACACCGAATGGTACGGACTTGCAGCGGACAGAAGTCAAAGCTACCTGGATGTCTGGAGGGCTACAGAAGATGAGCAGTTTCTTAAGTCCTTTGAAACGGAATATTTAATGAAGACAGTGAGATCACTACATTTAACGTTGATATTAATGTACCTCTGAAATCTTGGTAATAAGGTCATATGTGATGATCCTGGACGTTTTAATTCCATGCATTATCGCAAATACCGACGGTAAGAGTCTGTTGGGAGTTTCTAAAAATAGTTATATATCAATATTCTATATATTTTCCATTAAAAACAGAAAAATAACTTATAAAATAAATTAGACGGAATCAACAGTTATGCGTGAATTCATAATCGATTCATGAACTTCTGGTGGTATCATTTATCATGATGTAGTGAGTTATCATCTACAATTTTCTCTTTTAGTTTCACAATTAACAATCGGCAGGATTATTGTCGTATCTTACCACAACCTATTTTTCTCTATATTGATTCGTTACCGAAGTACCGCTGTGTCCTGCTTGTCCTATACATTGCAGTAGTATGCCCTAATATATCCCATGATAATATAAGTTTAGTGAAGAATATTCCACAGATACAATGCATTATGTAATCTAAATTTAATCCGGAAACAGTTTTCCGGTCGATTGCGTAATTATTCATTTTTATTAACATAATACTGTATCAGTATTGAAGGAGTTGACTGTATATAAGACTCTAACATGTAATGAATATTTATTTGCTTTGTACAAAGTAAGTTTTTTATTCTACCTTAATGTATGATATCACACGTCTTTAGTGAATGTATAACAGAGGGAAATATGTCACTTTCAAAGCCAGGTATATACATTATACCGACAGCAATGAAAAGTGAATATGTAAATATGTACATTATATGCGAATGTTTCATTACTTATCCATTTCAATAGATTTCAAACATTGATGAGATTTTCCATGGACGTTGTCTTTTCATTTTTGTGAGTTCTTTTGTGTGGAATAAAAAAAACTCTTAGAAAAGCTTGAATCTGTTTTTTATTGTTCAAAATTACAATTAATCTTAAAGAATCTTAATTGATAGGAGATGTTTGCTAAAATGTAAATGATGTTTTTTCTCGATATATCGTCAAATGTAAATGAGAATTGTGAATTTTCCATTTATGGTAGCAACACACCTGCATCCTCAACTTATGGTGTTTACATATCGCGGTTGATCCGATACCCAAGGGCCTGTTCCAGTTATCACGATTTTCGTGCAAAATCGTCAACTGACTGACAAATTGTAACTCAGGGTTTCAAAAGTCCAGGTTAAGGGAAATTATGGGTAAGTTTTGCGGTCGTAAAAGTGATCCATCCCTTTGTGCCATATGAAGATGGAAGAGTTTGATGCTTTTAAGTACACTTATGTATGCCATTCTCATATGGGAACGTTACATAACTTACTCCAATTGCGCAAGACTCGCATATCGTGTGTCGTTGATGAAACAAAGGACGATTTCCCCTCTTTAGGAGCAACCGAGGTCACATCGATTATAAGTACAAATTACGACTTTTCTAAATGGTCCACCGTAGAAATGTGTTTGTGGTATGATGAAATTGGTGACATTGTTTGGTATTATTGAGAGACGGTTGTGTAGTGTAAACACTTTATGATTTTGTTGACAGTTTATCAAATCACCTTTCGTTGGTTGGTTGGGTGGTTGGATGGTTTGACGTTTGCTGTCAGCGATGTTCATCTTTATTCATCCCTACTTCTTGTGAGTCTAAGACCCTGCTCATTCAGTGCAGAAACGATGTAGGAGTCGGGCCAGGTCTCTGGGGTGGACAGGAGCAAACTGAAGGAATATTTCTGGGTCTACCAATGTGATCGTCATCGATCCGATGCTGTCGCTCCAAAACCATCTTTGACTGACAATCCATCTAGAAAAAAGGACAATAAAGTTGTAGATCTCTATTCCTGACCAATACCCTATTAGTTGAAATGTTGAGACTGTGAATAGACAGAAATGAAATCATTTCGAAACCAGATAAAAGCTGGTTCTGATTAAAACTTACTGTTATTAGATGCACAATTTGGTGTTGCGCTAGAACTGATCTAAACACAAAGGGACATTTCACAATGCCTTTAATTGGGATACAGTTACTGATACTTAATCTAATCATTACAGATGGGGTCTTAACAAGACATTATCCAAGATACACGTCATCAACACATCATCTTTAATGTCTTGTAACATTTCATTGTAAAAGTAACCAAAAAAAAAAAAAAAAAAAGGTTGAAACTCGGCGTCTCAAAATCAGTCCCGAATTTTTTCCTTCTATATCTTTGTAATTTTAGTTCGGATGACTCGAATTTCAATGAGTCGACATTTCGGTGTGGAGTGGAAACGATTTTTTTGTCCCTTCAATTGTAGGGAAAAGTCATTCATGGTCTCGAAATTATTTTTGGTCAAAACATCGCAATATATACACAGAGTAGAACGACACCTGGCTAATAACGGCGTATCGGTCCCATCGTACACACAACACTTGGTTTCTGGCGAGATTATTGAATTACCAGTTTACGTATCCAGTTAAAGGTTGGCTTCTTAATTTGTGTCAGCATCCTGCAACAGTGACTTACATGTATGTTAAGAACGTAGCACGTTTATAAAAGATATGAAAACATTTAACGTGGTTGCGTGCATCTTCCGGAACGATAAAAACGAAACCGTCAAATCTGTACAAACGTTTTGACGAAATCTGATCCCCCACAATTCCGAGAGAACTAATTTTGAGCTTGTTTACCAAAGGACTGTGATCGGGCAATGAAGTGCTGAAAGTATTTTTCATTGAAAGAGTCTATATCTGTGCACTGTTAGTAAAGTCTAGTGCTTGTATAATGTTTTCTATAACAGATAAAAACTTTCTATTGACACGTTTTTCAAATGTTAATTAATTCATTATGAAGTCATATTTATATTATTGTATCTTTATACATCGTTTCTCGTAACGTATCAAAAGCAAATTTTAATTTCGTTTTATTGTCATTCCGTGGAGTATATATTGTATATGTGCCAGTAACACTAACACATGGTGCCACTGTACGAGACAGCACAAAAATACAAGCAATACAATTAGGTACAACTTCAATACATTCCCGACACAAGTTTAAACGTACATCTTTTACAAACTTTGACTGCGGAAAAAAGCTTTCGATATATTTCACATAAACATCCCCAAATCGGTTCCACGTCAATACATAGTTTGATTGCTACGAAAATTTTATCTTCAATGTATTTAACACCAATATGGCACTGGATAAAAAAATTGCTTTCTTCAACACTACAAACACTTCTTCATCAATCCTCTTTATAGAACACAACATGACGGTAATGTCTTTGATTATTATTTACAGTGTTGATTAAACATGTTTCTCTGCCTTTCTTTGTTGTATCATGGTCTGTCATCAGTTATCTGTGATGTCTTCATCAATTTACATCACTGTAGCTTTTCAGGATTTAATATTTACATCATTTGTATCTAACCTAATTGTAAAATAGAACAAATGACGCACAAGAAATCCCACTTTTCTATCCAATATAGTAATACAGTGCACATTAATGTAGTAATTGATAGTTAGACCAACATTTACCTTGAGGTAGTCCTTGCAAGTTAAAACACAATTTACATTCAGTTAGTCCTTACTAGTAAGACCACAGTTTACATTGGTGTACTCATTGAGCAATAAATGGATTTTATTACAAACAAGCAATATACATGTATATATATATTTAAATATATTATTTTTAACCATGCGACGTTTTCACTTTCACTTAAATTTTGCATAAAAGTTAAACATTTGTCTACTAATCTCTATAAATTTTGTTTATGATAAAACGAGGAACTACACCATTTCTTCCGTAATGTTCACCAATTCACTTATTTAATTTTGCTGACGTCAGTTTACCCTTAAGAGAGAAAATTGAATACCGTTTTTGTTTCGGATACGGAAACGTGAGTGTAAATGTAGATAGAAGTATTGAACTGTTACCATGATTTTTTTTTTATTTGTCACTTAACTGTAGTCATATCGATTGTATGTCCGCGTTTAATAACAGCCTAATGCTTGAAAATGATAAAACGAATGACTATGATATCGCTATTCATAATTTTCATATGAAAATCAGACAAAATATCCGGCAAGATGGGACATTCATATCGGTGTATCGGTATAGATAACATTTTTGAGGAACAGGGATACAGTGACACGCTAACTGTGATATTCCAAATACCGGTGTCAACAGTGGGTGTTAACAGTACCGATGATAATCCTGTCTCAACTTGTCAACAATGAAATATAGGTATAAAAAGATATAGGTATAATCATGACACTCCCCGTGAAGATATTGCGAAAATGTTTCACAACAGCTGATAAAGGTTACAGTCAACTGTCTTGTTTACATACGTGAATTACGTGTGTCTGGTTTTTTATCAGAACAAAATGGCTACCTTTGTACAACAGATGATATGGAACTTTTCGGACAGCTCTACGATAGTTGACGTCAAACAGCCAATACTATCGTTCTGCAACTTCCTACTTTTATCAATAAAATTGTTTAGATTTGAACAAAGTACTGATACCACTTTCGTCATTCAGCAACACATCTTGTTTTCGAAATATGTTTATAGTAAGCCTCCAACATTAATTCCATCATGAAAAGTTCAGACACTGTATTAGGAATCCACGTATCTTTTCTTCAGTGAAATGTTTTATAGTGAAAATTAACGTATCTATTATTCCAGGAAATATTTTATAGTAAAAATTAACGTATCTATTATTCCGTATTTATTCCTTTGTTAAATGTTGAATTATTCTAAGTGCTTTTTTTTTCTTTTTTAACCTTGAGAACTAAAACGAAGCTTTTACTTCCATATTTTAAAAAAATTAAATTATATCTCAGGACATAAAAAAAACTGTTCCAATGATAACATTTTAGACATTATGTTACACACAACCAGGGTTTAAATGTAGCGCTCTCGATTATAACTTTTAAAATGTCCGTTCATGTCATATGTCATATTGAATATTGTAAATCGACCGCTTGTTATTAATTAATGGTACAACTAGATAATTGATTCTGTTAGTTCTTAGCTCTCTTTCGTTTTTAGTGCCTTAAACAATTGTCAGTACAGATACAATTCTACACCACATTAAGTTAGATCTGCATGGTGATAAAGATATTCCATATCTGAGAGAATGAGAGAATTTCATTTAAATGTTGCTCATACTTATTCTTATCGATTGAAATATTACTATGTACATGAGTAGATATTCACCACAAGTTATTTGTCAACTTCAGCATTTGTTTAAACTGATATGCTGTTAACTCACTGATACAAGACGCGCCATAATCTAGCTACGCAGTGGACAAAACATAACATTAGAAGATGAGAATGATACATTCAGTATTTACAAAACGATTCACATATTGGCTTTTATTTTAAATATTAGTTGATATAAGCCATAAAACATCCATTTACTGGACTCCTCACAATGGATACTTTGGAATGGGATTGTGGGTTCTGTTTACTCCCGTTTATGAGTCATTATGATACAGTATTTACATAGACTTGATTCCTCTTGTTTTAAAGTCGTTAGAAATGATTTGTTTACAAACATCAGTTTCCAGTACTTCCTAATTCAATAGAACACATTAAACGTTTCCTTAATCGTTCATCTTAATCTATCACTTTTTTTTGTCGGGATTGATATAGGTATATTCTCGAGTGTTACCGGTACTAAATGATATAGGTATATTCTCGACTGTTACCGGTACTAAATGATATAGGTATATTCTCGACTGTTACCGGTACTAAATGATATAGGTATATTCTCGACTGTTACCGGTACTAAATGATATAGGTATATTCTCGACTGTTACCGGTACTAAATGATATAGGTATATTCTCGACTGTTACCGGTACTAAATGATATAGGTATATTCTCGACTGTTACCGGTACTAAATGATATAGGTATATTCTCGACTGTTACCGGTACTAAATGATATAGGTATATTCTCGACTGTTACCGGTACTAAATGATATAGGTATATTCTCGACTGTTACCGGTACTAAATGATATAGGTATATTCTCGACTGTTACCGGTACTAAATGATATAGGTATATTCTCGACCGTTACCGGTACTAAATGATATAGGTATATTCTCGACCGTTACCGGTACTAAATGATATAGGTATATTCTCGACTGTTACCGGTACTAAATGATATAGGTATATTCTCGACTGTTACCGGTACTAAATGATATAGGTATATTCTCGACTGTTACCGGTACTAAATGATATAGGTATATTCTCGACTGTTACCGGTACTAAATGATATAGGTATATTCTCGACTGTTACCGGTACTAAATGATATAGGTATATTCTCGACTGTTACCGGTACTAAATGATATAGGTATATTCTCGACTGTTACCGGTACTAAATGATATAGGTATACTCTCGACTGTTACCGGTACTAAATGATATAGGTATATTCTCGACTGTTACCGGTACTAAATGTGACATTATGATGAACGTTTTTGGTTTTTCCTAATTACATTATTACTCTAAGAAAAACAACATAACAACTCATGCTACTTGTTGACTAGTAATATCTTACAGAAATGGCATGGTCTTCTCTACGATGTCTAGTTTACTTAACCGATATGAAGACCTCTATCCCTTAAAATCCAAATATTTTAATGATTATATCGTCCCTTCTTTCCTCATGGCATGTAACAAGTGATATTTAAAGGAAAGTAAAATCTTTATAATTGGCACTTGTTCGGCATTCGGTATTAACTAAATAGCAACGACTTGTTTTGTCCATTGCCTGTATATATAACCGGGTGGGTACCAAACTACAGTGTCAACATTATGACATTTCAGTGTGATATCCCTATAAAAACTTCTAATAAATTACTTTCGACGTCGAGGTAATGTTGTACATCTCAAAAATAGCAAACACGTTGCAACAATTGTTGAAAAGACTATATTCTATTCTCTTGAAGTAATTAGTACCTATCAAATAAATAAGATTAAGCACAATAATTGACTATTCTGCTGTTTCCTTCTTCCTAGACTCGCCAGTGATGCTAAGGGTTTAAACTGTTGACACCCAACGACGACTGATAAAAATCAAAATTGATCGAAACAAATTTCGAAAAACCTAATAGAGAGATTCACTAGCCCAAAAACTTAACAAAACTTTTGAGTTTCGAATTTCATAGTGCCGAATCCTGAGGCCAGGACATGGCAGGAATCATAAATTGTCTTCCTTCTTTAATTGAGTGACAATGTCCTAAATATCTATAAATTAACGTAATGCATCATATACAGTAATTTCGATGATCTGAAGTTTCAGATTTGAGTTATCTGTCGTAATTGTATCCGAGTTTCATGTTAATATGTATACATATATATTTATAAATTTCATATATACTACAACGAAAAAGAAACGCCGTGTAACCTAAAAAGATTCTTTTAAATGATATAATTTAATGTTACATTATTTCATTCATTTTTGTATACAATTTCATCTGTTTGGAACCATTTGATGAAAGTTCTATCGATTATCAATGCTAATTATGCCAAAAATATCCCCCTTTTAGCGATGACCCTACATGTATTGCGCAACACGGCCGGACATTTCAGTATCTTGTGTGTCCTCCATGCGCAGCTGTCGCAGCCCTGATTCTTCTATGCATGGAATTAATCAGGGTGTTAACCCTTGCAATGGGGATGTTATTCCATTCTTCATGCAAGGCACGTGTGAGCTGGACCAGATTAGTAGGGGCATTTGGACGCCTCCTAACTCTCCTATCCAATTCGTCCCACAAATGCTCAATTGGAGACAAATCTGGACTGAATGCTGGTCAATCGATTGGGATTACGTTATTGTTGGCAAGAAATTGCTTTCAAACTCTAGCGACATGGGGCCGGGTAGTGTCTTGCTGGAATATCAGGTTCCGTGCTTGCACACATGGCACGGCAACTGGGCGAAGGATTCCGTCTCTATACCTTACGCCGGTTAAATTACCGTCAATTACGATCAGGGGTGATTTAAACCCATAGGAGATACCGCCCCAAACACATACTGAACCACCGCCAAACCTATCCCGCTCAGCGACGCACGCGTCGGTGTAACGTTCCCCTCGACGTCGATATACACGACGTCGCCCGTCCGAACGGTAGAGAGTGAACCGGGATTCGTCAGTGAAGAATACCCGTCTCCATTGCCTCATAGGAAAATTTCTGGGCGAGTGTGCTTGTAACCAAGCCAATCGGCGTTGGCGACGCGCAGGAGTTAGGGGCAGACCAACATAGGGACGTCGGGCTCTTAGGCCATTGACGCATAATCGGTTTCGAACCGTATCAGGATGAATATGGCGGTTATGACTGCCTATAGTGTTATTTGCAGTTTCGGTAGCTGTGAGATGGCGATTACGTAAGTGAGAAAGTCTTATAAATCGATCCTGATGTGGCGTCGTGACGCGCGGACGTCCACTTCGCGGTCGGTCGATGACCCTCCCCGTCACTCGCACACGTTGGACAAGACGTTGAATTGTCCGAATATGTACACCAAAATGTGCAGCAACCTGAAGTTGACCCTGACCCTGCAAAAGCATTCCTATAGCCTGTCCCCGCTGAATACTTGAACAGTATCAAATAGACTGAAAATTTCCATTGGCGAACTCAATGACCTTCCCCTGCACGGGATTCTTGTATTTTAGCACGTGCCTCGCACGGAGCGCGGAGGTCAGGTATTGTGTGATTTTAAACACGTGTACCTAGTGACCGCGAACAACACATCAACCTGACCGAGTGTCATTATTCTAGGCCAAGCTACAAATAATTTGTAGTATATTTAGTGTACCCGGCGTTTCTTTTTCATGTTAGTATATATGTTGGTCATAGTCCAATTATGGTGGACCACTTAATGATACAAACAACATATAATATATAAAATGCATATTCCCGTTATACATACAATGATGCACAACTAGATTATGCTGTATATATGCATTTTATTAATTTATTTTTTGTTTGTTATTGAACAAGACCATGAACACTATCGCTAAAATTACACCGAAAATAACTTAAATAGCACTGCCAAATGACGCAAATATGACCACAACAACGTCTGTTTAACATATTCTGAAGTGACAAAATGATAACTATACAGCCCTATTCAAGGAAACCTTCTCCAACCATTTTAAATCCAAACACGTCCATTAATAAGTTTTTGTGTAGGGGTACCACGTCACCTCGGTATTAACATAGATTATATAGACAACCATTGACTGACGGCGCCATACCTATATATCCTAGTATCAGTATCTTATAGAACTCTTATCGTCCTTATACAAACATTGTACCGTAATGACCTCGGGTGACGCTGTACTACACTTCCGATATTTTACTATAAATACTAGTACATGGTACTCTGTATACCAACAAACCGAGGAAGACAATTGTCCGAGCGGCACAGAAGAAAACAGTACCAACAAATTGAGGAAGACAACTGTCCGAGCGGCACAGAGGGAAAAAGTACCAACAAATAGAGGAAGGCAACTGTCCGAGCGATACAGAGGGAAAAAGTACCAACAAATAGAGGAAGGCAACTGTCCGAGCGATACAGAGGAAAACAGTACCAACAAATAGAGGAAGGCAACTGTCCGAGCGGCACAGAGGGAAAAAGTACCAACAAATAGAGGAAGGCAACTGTCCGAGCTGCACAGAGGAAAAAGTACCAACAAATAGAGGAAGGCAACTGTCCGAACGGTACAGAGGAAAAAAGTACCAACAAATTGAGGAAGGCAACTGTCCGAGCAGCTCAGAAAGGACATCATTGAAATTCCGTCGAAGAGGAAACCGGTGACTTCAATTTTCAAAACAGGTGTTTATATCTATGATTACACAGAATTCTAATTCCTAATTAATTGACGAAAAACACTTTCATTTCGACTTAAAATGGATTTATCAATACGACTGTTTTTGTCTCTATATTATTTGGCACTCAGTTTGACCAAATTAGCGATAAATTGTCTGTATGAATTTCTCGTATCTTCTCCCCTACGCTTTTGATAGATTAAAATCCAAAACATAAGTAAATAGTTGTTTTGTGTTATTTTCGAAAATAGATGACATTCGAAATCAAATTTTGCTTTCACAAATTTTAATCTAGTAGCTAGCTGTCGACGTTAATAAGGTTGTTTGTGTCTTGGTACCTAAGCTATTGATAAACCGACTTGGAATTCTTAAAAACTGCTTCCACATCAGTCAGATCACAATATCAAATCGACAAAAGTGAAAATTGAATCTTTACATTAACAAAAATGTTTAGAATATAAATTGTGCAAGATATTTTATACTTCTTTCAATGTAAAATATAATTATTTGGTTATGATATTGTTTTCCAGAGTTTCGGCAAATCAGCATGGATACCATGGTCGTAACCATATTGGCAGCATATTTGGCACTTTGTGTATGGTTACCTAGGGTCAGAGGTCATGGCCGACTTTTAGAGCCCCCGGGTAGGGCCAGTATGTGGAGGTTTGGCTACAACACTCCCCCAAACTATGACGACAACCAACTCTTCTGTGGAGGCTTTAATGTGAGTCATCATTTAATTTTGAAATAAGAATGTTTACCATACGAATCACTTTCGCATTACGTAAAGCAATATAAAAGCTATTCACAACATTGGACGAACCAGTAGCAAAACAACGAAGGTGTGTAACAACATACAAGATCATACGAATATAGGATTCTCTTTTTGTACAGCGTCAATGGAAAATCAATGGCGGTAAATGTGGCGTTTGTGGCGACCCCTGGAATGGAGCACGTGAACATGAGGCTGGCGGGAAATATGCTACTGGAACTATTGTCCGCCATTACAGTGAGGGACAGACGATCAGTGTGAACGTTCAGATAACAGCGTCACACAAGGGCTACTTTGAGTTCCGGCTGTGTCCTCACAACAACCCCAGCACCCGTGTGTCCCAGGCATGTCTGGACCAACACGTTCTACAACAGACCGATGGCAGCACTCGGGTGTACGAGACTGGTCATCCCACCAACTATACAATCCACCTCAAACTTCCGGCTGGTGTCACGTGCTCACAATGTCTTCTCCAGTGGAAATACAACGCAGGTCAGTTTCGTATAACATCAGGTTTTATTGCTTTGATGGATTTCTGGTTATTGATTCTTAAAAGAACAACCATCTATTGAAGTTGTGTCGCTATATATTCGGCGTGTAGGAGATATTGATATAACCTGCGCGAACTTGGTTTAGAATACAAATGTAATGTTTTTGCCAATGAAGAATTACGCTTTAAATCGACTGATGAGAAAATCCAAATTTATTTTTATTTTGATACAGGTAAGTATTTGAATTTGTTACTTTTCCCTTTACAGGAAACTCGTACGGCTGTGACGGAGGTCATTGCTGTGTCGGATGTGGGGAACAAGAACAGTTTTACGGTTGTGCTGATGTCAGTGTAGGATCAATGGGATCATCTTCACCTTCATCAGGACAAAATCCACCGTCTGCCTATCATCCGGTCAACGTCATTCCACAGGGACAAACACAGGTATCAGGCATTCACTTCCTAATTCCGGCGATTGCACAACAACACGGACAATACATTCAGAATCATCAGCCCGCTGGCTATGCACCACGGAACACTAATCACGTCATATCCGGTAACTTGTTTTCCGGTGGAAGTCAAACTGAACCGTGTAAAGCTACTCCTCGCTATCGAGCCATCTATCAGTACGCCGACCAGTACTGTGCTGTACAGTGTAGTAGAGGGAGCTGTCCGGTTGAACAGTATTGTACCTCGGCGTGTAGGAGGTCATTTGGTGGCAAATAACAAGTTTCACAAACTGATTTTGGCATGAACATCATATTTAGTTTATTGTTTATACATGCCGTTTATTTTGTGTCGGGTCACACCTTTGTGTTATAATACATTTATTTATTTATTTTGTTATTGTGCATAATACAGTGCCGGTGCCAAAGATGTAGCATATGTGAAATATGTAGTAGATATAAAAATACGATGTCATTTCTTCAGAAAACGGGCAACCTATGATGATTTCAATATGCTATAGTATTTGTGCTGAACATTTTTGATAATTTGCTGTGTATATTGAATATTGGTTTTATACTTTTAAAAATAAAATCAACACAAAAATGGCACCATGTCCCTGTGCTGCTAATTTTTCATAACGTTAAAATTTGAACATCAAACTCAAATGAAACGAGCACGTACTACATAATGACGTTAAAAATTAACGCCAATAAATCATAACGTTATTTTTAACGTTAAAATTCAACAAAAAGTAACAAAATCCACAGGGAGGTGCAGCAGTCCAAAAAAATTAAGGAATTTTGTAATTTCTTATATCAGATAAATTAAAAGAACGTCAAGTATATGTGTATATTCTGAACCGTTCCACTATTCGCATGAATCGAAACGTGGCATGCAGGATAATGCAAACCTCGGGCATTAAAGTGCACAAGATGTATCTGCCACCTGTTATTGTAGATCGAAGATTGTACAAAAGATACATACCTTCGTGGAAATAGCAGATATCATATTTGACCATGATTGGTGACCTTTACAACCTTACACCAGTTGAACTTGATGCAAAAAGAACTAGAGATAGCGTATACAGCCTACTCAGCTACAAAAATCCTGGAAAACTTGTATATACGAAACTGTCATGAAAGCCAGCTGAATTCAAAAGATGACGTATTGCTAGCTTTTAAGCCCACCTTTTTTCTATAATCGAAGTAATAATAACCATTTCCTTTTTCCCATTTTGTACATTTTTACTAACACATCATACGATCCCTCTATCTTAGCTGAACTTTAACTCTCATAATAAAATATCAGTATGATGTGTTGCCAAAATCAACATTTCACGCCAATTTTACGACCTTAGCGGCTGCTATTCTAACGCTTTACCTCATAACCAAGTTTATAATGGTTTATAGCATGTAGGGGACTAGGAAGTCAGGCCACAGCGAATATAATTAGAAACTTCTACGCTTACAGCAATATTCAAATGCTTGTATGCATGGAAAATGAGTGTTTTAATGATCAAAAGTGATTAAATACAAACCTGAAATATTTCACTAATATCAGTATATGTCGGTTCCCTTTTAATTTCGAAATAATCTTAGAATGGTGAACCTTAAGTTGAGAAGAGCAAACTATTTTCATAACAGGTTTAAGTTACAGGTTGTCTGTTACGCAGCACTTGAAGTATACACTTTAACTAGATAGTTGGTGTAGTGTTTATTTCGATGCTGAGCATAACTAATTGGATCAAATTCAACACCATTAAAACCAGTATCAACTGGCTAGAATAGTCATCTGAGTTTGTAATTATCATTTCGCTGTCGTAGACATCATTCTGTAAAGAGTTGCCGAACAGTACTCTATGTAGTGTAAATGAACAGCTGCTTTATTGTTTTACGTGATCAAGAATGATAGCCTTTATTATAGATAATTTCACGGAATTGATTTGCACCTGAAGTGATTGTATGTTTTGATGTTAATTAGTACTAAATAAATGCTATTTTCTAACGTATCTATAACGGTTTGATCTATACTGTATCAGCACTTAGCATTTACTGTTTGTTTGTCACGTGCCAATGGTTATAGAATAATCTAAACTCATACTTAACTGTGTTAAAATCTCCAATCTCATATTTGGTATAATTTACAACAGAATCTGTTTTAGTTTTTTATATGAATTTATAAGCCGTCTTCTGTATAGATATCGTGTATATAAATCACTGTCTCAAAATATATCATATGAATTTTCATCAGTCTACATCAACTCTAGGAACCATACACATGTGACGTCATCGATATTTCATATACATTAACTCTATATTGCAATTATCTTACTGAAACATGTGAAGTAAACACTTGTTCCTATATTTTATTAATACATTAATTCTAATTGCTTGTGTATCATAACAATTTGAATCATATGTATAAAATTTCCGTTGTATAAAAACAAACAGAAAATACCAAAATGTCAATAAAATCATATTCCAAACTCAAGCTCAATAAAACTAGTGCAAAGTGTGTAAAAAGGAAAGATTTACACTGAGATTCCTGAAAAAGTACTAGGAGAATAAGACCAGGTGCTCCGGAAGAGTAAGCTGTCTTCTGCTTCATCGACGACGTGCGGAATCTGAACTACTGATTAATGTTCCGTGACAATGGCTGTGACTTTTGATCTCGAATGTGATTGGCTGTACTATGGTCAAAGCAGTGTGTATATCACAAAACCGATATTTAAAAACGGAGATCAAAATGAAAAGTATTTTTTAGTTTGTACAGACAAAATCGCACAAAACATGCCAAGAAAATGCTAAGATGTCAACATAATCAGAATCCAAACTCAATTTTACAGATCAACCAACATATAAACAAAATACAGATTTAGACGGAGGCTTCTGAAAAAGTACAAGAAGATTGAGACCAAGTGTTCCGGATTATTTAACATCTTCTGCTTCCGTTTTCAACAAAGACGAAGAAAGTATGCGTCTATGTGCAGCAAAATGTCTAACAGCCCTGAAATGTTCGGTACATCACAATGCATCGTATTGGCTCCGTCATAAATGTCATTTACGTTCAACAATTTCTCGGAAATTCATGTTTAGAATCTTTATCTTATGATGAAATCCATATCCTATTGACAACCAACAGGAAGATTGAAAACAAGAGAAATAAGTCATCTAGAGATTCAGGTATACACGTGAAGAAATATCGCTTGATGATAGTGTTTTTGTATAAAGCTAGATATAGTACAGCGTCCAAAAAACAAGCAGAAAAAGATTTTTCCTTGAGATTTTATTATCAAAAGCTGAAAGTCTCCATACAAAACATGATATATTTTGATAATGTAATTAACACAATATGTAAAAAATAATATAGCAAAATTACAACGTTTCTTTTCTAAAACCACGGGGGAAATAAATAGCATTTATCGTGTGTTTTGGCACCGACGTTATATTATGCAGATTGATAACAACAATAAAGAATATATCATGATGATCCATGTTTCTCCTGGATCTCCATAAGGACTTTAGTATGACCAAAAACACGTAACATACCTTATCATATAATTAATATATCGATATCAGGAGTACAAAAATGTCACATTCGTCTGTAATTTTTGTTAAACTTTGCCACCAAACAACCTCCTACACGCCGAGGTACAATACTGTTCAGCCGGACAGCTCCCTCTACTACACTGTACAGCACAGTACTGGTCGGCGTACTGATAGATAGCTCGATAGCGAGGAGTAGCTTTACACGTTTCAGTCTGACTTCCGCTTCCACCGGAAAACAGGTTACCGGATATGACGTGATTAGTGTTCTGTGGTACATAGCCAGCGAGCTGATGATTCTGAATGTATTGTCCGTGTTGTTGTGCAATAGCCGGAAGTAGGAAGTGAATGCCTGATACCTGTGTTTGTCCCTGGGGAATGACGTTGATCGGATGATAGGCAGAGAGATGTTGTCCTGATAATGGAGTTTGTCCCTGAGATACTCCGTGCGCGTTCTGATAGACAGACGAATGAATCTGAGGGGATGAATATGCCGAACTCCCGCCGGATCCTACACTGACGTCAGCACAACCGTAAAACTGTTCTTGTTCCCCACATCCGACACAGCAATGACTTCCGTCACAGCCGTACGAGTTTCCTGGAAAGAAATATTAACACTCATTTATCAAACAGAACCTGATTTCTGTTATACATGACTGGATGCGATATTACTTCTCAGAAAAACTATTCCCACACAAAAAATGATGCATCATCATCATCATCATCATCATCATCATCAACAACAACAACAACAACAACAACAACAACAGCAACACATACTGATAAACTATCATTATTTCATATTGATTTTAAATATTAACACAGTGGTCAATGTGTTACTCACCTGCGTTGTATTTCCACTGGAGAAGACATTGTGAGCACGTGACACCAGCCGGAAGTTTGAGGTGGATTGTATAGTTGGTGGGATGACCAGCCTCGTACACCCGAGTGCTGCCGTCGGTCTGTTGTAGAACGTGTTGGTCCAGACATGCCTGGGACACACGGGTACTAGGGTTGTTGTGAGGACACAGTCGGAACTCAAAGTAGCCCTTGTGTGACGCCGTTATCTGAACGTTCACATTGATCGTCTGTCCCTCACTGTAATGGCGGACAATAGTTCCAGTAGCATATTTCCCGCCAGCCTCATGTTCACGTGCTCCATCCCAGGGGTCGCCACAAACGCCACATTTACCGCCATTGATTTTCCACTGACGCTGCCAGATAAAAAAAAAAACTTTTTTATAGACCTTGCAATGGTGTGAATTTTTTGCTTACTGTTACTTCATATATATTAATAAATTTAATGACAATCAAACATTTTAAAGCTAAATGATGACTCACATTAAAGCCTCCACAGAAGAGTTGATTGTCGTCATAGTTTGGGGGAGTGTTGTAGCCAAACCTCCACATACTGGCCCTACCCGGGGGCTCTAAAAGTCGGCCATGACCTCTGACCCCGGACATCCATATGCATAATGTTAGATATAATAAGGCCACTGTATGCATGTTGATTCGGTGAAATCCTGGAAAATGAATATGACTATTAGAAAACCAAACTTTCTTTGTCAGAGGCATTTCTTCGGTAAAGATATCTTTCATAAAGATATATTTTCTATTCTTTTTCGTAAATTATACTTCATTACAGAATTGTTCGTCAGGAACATGATGACCTGTGATCAGTGCAAGTCTACGTGTCTGAAACATTTCTTAATTTATTCAAACCTAGTGCAAAATATGAACAACATCAAGAAAATTCCAACATGGCAACATAATCATACTTAAAATTCAAATTCCATATACCTAGTGCAAAATATGAACAAAAGAAAGATTTATACGGAAAGTCCTGAAAAAGTATAAGGAGAATAAGACCATGTGTTACGGAAGAGTAAGCGTCTTCTATTTCAACGACGACACTTGCCGAAGCTATGTCATAATTCGTGAAGATAGATTAGCCCTTTTTTTGCTTCTGAAGCTTTTCGGACTCATACTTCTGAACATAAGCGATGTATATATAGTTAAAATCAAAGGAAAACGCGTAGACCATACAGAATAGTTGAATCGAGTTGGATTTGAGTAAAAAAAAGGTATTAAGGCAAACGAAAAGGGAAAACGATCTCTATTTGTTAGACTTTTCATGTAAAACAATAGTATATAGGCATTTGTTGTACTGTTTACACCTGTCTTGAATGTTGATCTTCCTCAATTTGTTGGTACTTTTTTCTGTGTCGGACAGTTGCCTTTCTTATTTGTTGGTACTTTTTCCCTCTGTACCGCTCGGACAGTTGCCTTCCTCTATTTGTTGGTACTGTTTTCCTCTGTGCCGCTCGGACAGTTGCCTTCCTCTATTTGTTGGTACTGTTTTCCTCTGTGCCGCTCGGACAGTTGTCTTCCTCGGTTTGTTGGTACTGTTTTCCTCTGTGCCGCTCGGACAGTTGCCTTCCTCTATTTGTTGGTACTGTTTTCCTCTGTGCCGCTCGGACAGTTGCCTTCCTCGGTTTGTTGGTATACAGAGTACCATGTACTACTAGTATTTATAGTAAAATATCGGAAGTGTAGTACAGCGTCACCCGAGGTCATTACGGTACAATGTTTGTATAAGGACGATAAGAGTTCTATAAGATACTGATACTAGGATATATAGGTATGGCGCCGTCAGTCAATGGTTGTCTATATAATCTATGTTAATACCGAGGTGACGTGGTACCCCTACACAAAAAACTTATCAATGGACGTGTTTGGAGTTAAAATGGTTGGAGAAGGTTTCCTTAAAGATAGTTGTATAGTTATCCATTTGATAATAAATATATATAACGTATTTCCTGTGTACAAATTTGCGTCATTTGATAATGTGATATATTTAGTGTTGTGATATGACTTATAGTATCATGCAATATCATATCAAAAGAGAAGCGAACTCTCGCTTCGGCGATCGAGATAATATTACTTATGTTGATTATGCATTACTATCTGTATTGAATTAATAGTATTCACTATATACAAATTATATGTTCTTTGCAGACTCATCATGTAGGATATCAAAACATCACAGCGACAATAAAAACTCTACAAAATACCAATGTATCAAATAAAAACAAATACGAGTCAAAGATTGAAGTAAACAGAATTTGTGTCCATCTTTGTTTCATGACAAACGGTGGATTTAAAAAAAACAAGAAAATAACAACATAATCATAATACAAACTCAAATTCAATTAAATAGGGTAACATATGACAAAAGAAATATTTACGCTGAGACCCTTACCAATGTACAAGGAGAATAAGACCAGGTGTCTCTAAATATTTAACGTCTTCTGCTTCATCAACGACATGATTTAGAAAATTATGGGACTAGTGCACCTTTCTGACATTTCTTTGATCACTTTGGAATTTTCTCCGCCATCTTCGAGGTTTCAAAATTCTATTGCTTCTAATGCTAAATTTGTAGTGAAAGATGCTAACTTTTTCAACAAGTCATCCTCTTCAGTTATAAAGTTTGCTGTATGGATAAACATGAATTATGAAGGAATTGATGATACTCAGAGTTCAGAATATTGATTAGTTGTTGACATCCGATATATAAGTATGAAACGTACGGTATACAGAAAAGGAAATGAAAGGAGACATGTTATTTATTTTACACTTTACACGGCCCTTGTTTTCCAGATATATTTTTATAACGGTCCGTATTCATTTCAAGATTATTGTTACATCGTCTTAATAATAAACTTTATTCAATTTACAACAATTGTTACATTGCTTACATTAATGACTCTTGTTGGCCCGGATGGATGGGCACGAGGATTTTTGTTGTAGCAGGAAACCGGAGTATCCAGGGATCGGACAGGTTATCCCATACCTTTTCACGGGGATCGAACCTCGGACGCCTGTGTGAAAAGTGAGTGTGCAACCAATGTGCCAATCGACCGCCCATCCACATACTTTGTTAGTCTGTAGTGTATGTTTCTTGTTGGTAGTTCTGCTCCAAACTTCTTATTTATAAATTATTTATGATCGCCATTTGTCTGTAATATTTGTTTTGATCACATGTATAATTGATCAATAGATTTGAATCTGATGGTGCTGTTTACCGGAATTAATTGAACGTCGACAAGTTGGAACAGAGTAACAGCCAATGAGGTGAAATAACAATTTTGTTTTTTGTAATAAACTCAAAGTAATGCGAAAGAAAACTTCAGTTCAAACAAAGAAAATAACATTTCACATACTTCAATGTTATTAATGTAAAATTGAATCCTGAACACATCTTCAGTTCTCAATTTGTTTACTCATGGTGAAAATTCGAAATTAGGGATAGGATGGATTCCATTTTATTTACTTAAGTCAAAGAAAATCGTGGATATAGTAAAAGATCTTTCGTTCTGGATGGTACGTTTGTAGATTGCTGCATGCTGTGACGTCAAAACTTATAAAGTCTTTTAGTGAATTTATTCATTAACTCTTGACAAATATAGGTATTGACAATAGGTACCCAGATAAAAATGTGCGTCAGTTATGTTATTTTCAATTGTTATAATTCCATGGAACAAGTGTTGAGTTTATCGTACCGTTTAAGCCCACACAATGGGTCTGACGTCATTTGATATGACCTTGTATTGAGACGAGGGGGCTATCACCAGCACCAACCGTTCGATGACCTAACGGACAGTAGGTAATCGGGTACAGCAATGGCGTCAAATCTGCGTATCACCGTATCCATGTCCAAAAGAAATTTTATCTCTGCAAAACAAATATTGTTATGTTGTTTATGCGATCTGCTTCCGATAATTTTACTATAAATACCAGGAACACATGTACCTTTTGTATACCAACAAAGCTCACGACCCCGAACAGCCGTAACTGTCGGAACGACTACAGAATACTTCGGTAGAGAGTAACATACAGGTACGTGTGTTCACAATTAAACAAGTTCTATGCTTTAGATAACACTATGAGATTTCACTACATATAATAATATGGTATATCTAATGTCTGTGGTTCAACAAATGTATTCTTCGGCACGTGCGATTAATTAAAACAGTTTTTTTTATCAATTTATGTCCTTATTAATTACGTGTCTATATGTGGTGTTATATTATAGAAATATAGTAAATACCATTACGTTTGTACTGAGGACAAATAGATAAATAGCATATATCAGTATGAATTCAACGTTACATAAAACATGTATCAAAAATAGGTAACACAGCTTTTAGGTTAAATACAGAGAAATTGTGGAAAATCATAAACAAATTGATGAACAGAAAAAACAGTTATGTTGACGAAATTCTTATTCGAACTCAAATTCGGAAGTTAAAATATGAACAAATGAAATATTTACACATAACCGATACCCGCCGTGTGAATCTAGTTCAATCCATGTGAAGTTCACGTAAGGAGACCTATAGGTACACCAACAACAATCAAACACGTCAATAACAAATACTATAATGTCCATTACTATTTACAGGAACTCTTTCCAACATGAAAGCTTTCACCATGGTGACATTCTCGATTTGCTTAACGCTGTGCGTATGGATACAGGGGGTTACAGGTCATGGCCGACTTTTAGAGCCCCCGGGTAGGGCCAGTATGTGGAGGTTTGGCTACAACACTCCCCCAAACTATGACGACAATCAACTCTTCTGTGGAGGCTTTAATGTGAGTCATCATTTAGCTTTGAAATGTTTGATTGTCATTAAATGAATTAATATTACACATTGTCCCGACTTATGCATCATGCAAGTAACAGTTAGCAAAATTAACACCATTGCAAGGTCTATAAAAAGGTTTTTCAAAAGCGTTATTTTTATCTGGCAGCGTCAGTGGAAAATCAATGGCGGTAAATGTGGCGTTTGTGGCGACCCCTGGGATGGAGCACGTGAACATGAGGCTGGCGGGAAATATGCTACTGGAACTATTGTCCGCCATTACAGTGAGGGACAGACGATCAGTGTGAACGTTCAGATAACAGCGTCACACAAGGGCTACTTTGAGTTCCGGCTGTGTCCTCACAACAACACCAGTACCCGTGTGTCCCAGGCATGTCTGGACCATCACGTTCTGCAACAGACCGACGGCAGCACTCGGGTGTACGAGGCTGGTCATCCCACCAACTACACAATCCACCTCAAACTTCCGGCTGGTGTTACGTGCTCACAATGTCTTCTCCAGTGGAAATACAACGCAGGTCAGTTTCGTTTCATATAAGCTTTTATTGCGCTTATTTGATTCTTGATTATTGAATCCTTAAAGAACAACTATCTATTGAAGTTGTGTCGCCATATATTCTGAGTGTAAGATATTGATATAAGCTGCACGATCTTGGTTTAGAATACAAATGTAATGTTTTTGCCAATGAAGATCTACGCTTTAAATCGGCTGATGAAGATATACAATTTTGTTTCTATTTTGATACAGATAGGTATTTGAATTTGTCACTTTTCTCTTTACAGGAAACTCGTACGGCTGTGACGGAGGTCATTGCTGTATCGGTTGTGGGGAACAAGAACAGTTTTACGGTTGTGCTGACGTCAGTGTAGGATCAATGGGATCATCTTCACCTTCATCAGGACAAAATCCACCGTCTTCCTATCATCCGGTCAACGTCATTCCCCAGGGACAAACACAGACATCAGGCATTCACTTCTTACTTCCGGCGATTGCACAACAACAAGGACAATATATTCAGAATCATCAACCCGCTGGCTATGCACCACAGAACACTAATCACATCATATCCGGTAACCCGTTTTCCGTTGGAAGCGGAAGTCAGACTGAACCGTGTAAAGCTACTCCTCGCTATCGAGCTATCTATCAGTACGCCGACCAGTACTGTGCTGTACAGTGTAGTAGAGGGAACTGTCCGGCTGAACAGTATTGTACCTCGGCGTGTAGGAAGTCGTCAGGCGGCAAGTGATCAGTTCCACAAGATACAGCATACAGATACTGGCGTAGGCAAGGGCTCCCCCCCCCAAATTGTCCCAGAGGTGACTTTTGTGAAACGTGTAAATCCGTTGAGTTTTTTATTGGGGGTGCAGGAAATGGAGCCAAAATTTTCAAAATTTTCTGGGGGAGGGCCCCCAGAGCCCTCGCCAAAACTTCGCGCCTTCGGGGCTCGCAACGCACGGCTTGGCCGGCGTTGCCAGATTTTTGCCCCTCTCCCTACCCCCAACTTTAAATCCTGGCATTGCCACTGAGCATACAGCCATTATATTACAAGTCCCATCGTTCTTACTCTTATAATTTATATTTTTGCATTGTTTGCTTACATCATTATTGTGTAAATGTTATTGGTATGTGCATTCGTAAACTTGTACGTTTGAAAGAATCGGAGATATGTTGCACTATTCTATTTATCTAAGCATTGTGCATAATAGTTCCAGTCACATTCAGCTACAAACTTATATAGATGTTTTCTAAATTGTGACAGACATATATTTTTCACTCATGTGCTTTTCTTTTATCTAATGTATTGATATGATAATTTCCGGAGATGTATTATGTAAGTAATTTCTTTGTCATTGTCGGATAGCTTTGTTCTTCCATTTTTATATGGTCATTTTATATGCAAGTATTTTTTGTAATAAAAGATGAAAAATATCTTACGTTTTTATCTGGATTTTGTTACGCTCACTGAAGGGAGAGCATATAGTCACCGCATTGTCCGTCCATCTCTCCGTCATAATTTTGTCCGGATCGTAACACAAAAACTATAAGAGGTATCAACATAAAACTCTATAAGTAGATAGATCTTAACTAGAAGTTCAGAGCACAAGAACCGTCACTCTGTTTTGCACAATTTAGGAGTTATTGCCCTCTTTTTATACTTAAATATTGCCCGGAGCATAACTTAAAAACTATAATATGTATCAACATAGGACTTCATAAGTAAATAGATTTCAACAAGAAGAAGTGCAGTGCACCAGACTCATCACTGTTTTGCACAATTTAGGAGTTATTGCTGTTTGTTATTTTTCATTCTTAAATTTTGTCCGGATCATTACACTAAAACTTTAAGAGATGACAACATGACACTGCATAGGTAGATAAATTTCTACAAGGAAAAGTGCTGTGCCCAAGAATCATAACTCTCTTACTGTCCTTTGATATTTTTCAAAAGTAAATTTTGTGCCATTCGGGAAGTATAACCCGTCTCATTTTAGTATACAGTGGTATATTTTGGTAACAGGTATCTGACAACTTTGTCAGAACTTCCGGGTTTGCCTGCTGACAACATTGTGCTCAGGAACATCTCGTTTGGCCATTGCAACTAACATACATGTGATTGGAAATTTAATATAATGGAAAATGTTGCATTCGAGATACTGTCAACAGTATTTCAAACTTCATTAATTAACGCACTTCCATCAGGTACATATACAGGTGAAACTCCGGAAAACAAGTTCACATTTCGCTTATCGCCTGCATTTCGTGTCTATTAAACACTATTAAATACTTCCAGACATCATCATCGAAAATTATCAATTAGATTCAATTAAACTTTATTAGTGCAATAACAATTACAATGTACATATGTAATTTGATGGCTTACGCGACCAGTTTGAAAACAGCGGGCTAAAGTTTACAAACGGAGAAGAAGATTTTTATACTTATTCAAACTGGGATACAGGTCTGTCTCCCGAGTTCTTATGACCGTTTAATAAACAGTTCTGACGTATGATTATGATAGGTAAAAGCCCATGTCCGTTTCAAGAACTTTTCAATTTTACCGTGATAGCTCATTCGTTGTGTAATTCTATCTGCAATGACAAGGCTGTGTTATTTAACGGGAATTTGTCTCCACTCTTCAACTTGACTTATATCTTGCAGAAAATTACTTTTTTCCTTCATTCCTTAATTTGGGCGTATCATAAGTGTAATCATATTGTTCTTACTCTGTGTCTAGAGAAAACGTTGTCGAATTGAATTCCGAATGGTTTACATGTACCTCGAAGAATATGTCTTCAATAGTTATTCTGTTGGGCCTACAATAAGTAACCTACATCACTTTTGTACTTCTGTACTAGATACTGGAGACTATTGTTAAATGCCTATTGTGTTTCTCACCCCATTTTGGTTGATTTAACATTTTGAGATTACTATTTTTGCGAGTATTTTTTCACCTCCGTGATATTTATATGTAACTTATTTCCACATTTTGTCCCGAGAGTTACGCTATCAACACAAAGCCGATATTTCCACAGTAATGATCCTTCTGTTACTCGATAAAACATAACATTTTATCCCCGAAGATTGACACCAAGGATTCACAAACTATGATAATATTACATATGTTTAGTTCAAATGATGTTTTTACACGCTAACCTCTATGAAAAGGAGAAAGGATCTAACAATACTTTTACCCTGGTGTCTGCTTGATAGATCCCATGTTCAAAAGGCACACAGTTACGTTAGGTTAAACCCACCGTGAAGCGCATTTTTCCTTCAGTAAGTTTTGTTTCTACGTCAACCATCCCTGTGACGAAGCGTTCTAGACATAATCATAGGGACCTGAGAATTTGAAACAGTCTTTGTTAAGAGGATCTACCATGGTTTGTCTATCCGGGTTTGTTTAATGTTGAGAGGGGTCAGATCAATATTCAGTAAAAACGACACCCTTGTTTGGTGTATTAAATATATACCTTAGAGGGGTATCGTGTTTTCGAATATTGATCTAAAATGCTATAAATCCAAATACATGTTCTCAAGTCCCTGTGGGTGTGATTAAAACGATATATATATATATATAGGATTGTTTTGCGTTCTCGTGTTAACAATGAGGTTAGTTACCACGCATCAGAGTATTGTGTAGGTTAGTAAGTCTAATATCGACCAAGAAGTCCTCGGAGAGACCTGACAGTATATGTGTCAGTTTCTATCTAGTTTGATTGGTATCTCGACTGTTTTATATACTCAGCACTAAGAGCACACACTCAATTTAAAGATAGATTACGTAACACTCAAGTGTAGGGAATAAGTTACAGAAGGCATAAATAGGCGATAAAAGGCGGCAACAAAGCATTCCTTATATAGGTCACACTGTAAGATCTACCAGACAGCATCTGACTGAAAACCGTCAAGTTTACAACGAAATATAAAATAACAATCCATTTCCTTTACATGTTAATATCTATTATTGGTTTTAAGTATTATAAATCGTGTATAGTCATCGGGTACTTTTACAAAGAACAGGTTGGAGGTGAAAGGAAAATATCGGCTTCTAATATTTCAAATATCTCTCCATTTTAAGCAATTCAAACCAATGTTATCTTATATATAGTACCTTCAATGTTGTTTTACCCAATGAATCACATTTTCGCGTTAAAAAAAAAAAAACAAAAAAAAGTTTGAAGCAAAAAACTGCATGCACTTTCTTCAAAAGACACAAAATGGATCCAGGTTCTCTATATCAATTCATTTTCAATATATGGATTTCATAACATCCTCGAAAATATAGAAAAATGTATCCCAACTATCCGCCCCATCATTTTCATGTCTACGTCTTCAAGTCATTAACACGTATACGCGTCAATAACACGTCTACACATCAATAACACGTCTACGCGTAAATAACATGTCTTCACGTCAATAACTCGTCTACAAGACAATAACACGTCTACGCGTCCATAACACGTCTACAAGACAATAACACGTCTACGCGTCAATAACACGTCTACAAGACAATAACGCGTCTACACGTCATTACCGTCTTCAAGACAGTAACATGTCTACACGTCAATAACACGTCTACACGCCTATAACACGTCTACACGTCAATAACACGTCTACAAGACAATAACGCGTCTACACGTCAATAACGTCTTCAAGGCAGTAACACGTCTACACGTCAATAACACGTTTACCCGCCTATAACACGTCTACACGTCAATAACACGTCTACAAGACAATAACATGTCTACACGTCAATAACACGTCTACAAGACAATAACGCGTCTACACGTCAATAACACGTCAATAAAACGTCTACACGTCAATAACACGTCTACAAGTCAATAACACGTCTAAACGTCAATAACACGTCTAAACGTCAATAACACGTCTACACGTCAATAAAACGTCTACAAGACAATAACACGTCTACAAGACAATAACGCGTCTACACGTCAATAACACGTCAATAAAACATCTACATGTCAATAACACGTCAATAAAACGTCTATACGTCAATAACACGTCTATAAGTCAATAACACGTCTACAAGACAATAACGCGTCTACACGTCAATAACACGTCAATAACACGTCTACAAGTCAATAACACGTCTACACGTCAGTAACACGTCTACACGTCAATAACACGTCTACAAGACAATAACACGTCTACACGTTAATAACGCGTCCACACGTCAATAACACGTCTACACGTCAATAACACGTCTACACATCAATGACACGTCTACAAGACAATAACACGTCTACACGTCGATAACGCGTCTACACGTCAATAACACGTCTACAAGTTAATAACACGTCTACACGTCAATAACTCGTCTATACGTCAATGACACGTATACACGTCGATAACACGTCTACAAGTTAATAACACGTCTACACGTCAATAACTCGTCTATACGTCAATGACACGTATACACGTCGATAACACGTCTACAAGTCAATAACAAGTCTACACGTCAATAACACGTCTTTAAGGCAGTAACAAGTCTACACGTCAATAACACGTCTACACGTCAATAGCACGTTTATAATTTGATAACACGTGCACTAGGTCTGCAAGTCATTTATACATATTCAAGTAAACGATACATCTTCAAGTGAAAAACACGTCAACAAATCAATTACAAATCTACACGTCAATAACACGTGTACAAGCACATGAAAAGTTTATTAAAGACAACGTGTAAAGAAACATGAATTTCTAAGTCAACATCGATTAGACTGGGAGAGAGGGAGGATATGGAGAGAAGTTTTAAAAGTACAACCATGGGACACGAGAAGTTATAATGGTATAATGATTAAAGACGAAAGACACGCGAACGCGATTCAAAAACGTCTAAAAACATGTGTTTAGAATTTTGGATTCGAGTCTTACACTTGTGATCCTCATACTTCATCTGTAACTGTCAAGGTGCTCATTTTAGTCTATATCTCTCTAACGATTTTGTAACATAGCTGTGGCTGATGACTCATTGCAGCGATAATGTATTTTGACAGACTTCACAAGAAATTTTAAAGAAACCCGTATCTATTATACAGAACTTGTAACGACACGAAGGGTTTATAATTGGCACGCTACCATTTTGTTGTATAATAAGGTTTACCAAAAATAGTCCAATCTTTGCTATTAGCTTCAGATCACTTAAGAGTGAGCAGCATACCTATAAATAATCAGTTCATCACGTGACTTCTATAGCAACATGACTATAAATAACCAGCTCATCACATGATTATAATGCAATAGATATTCTATCGTTTCGAGGATGTTAATTACAAGGTCAGATAAATTTTGATTATAGGAAATAGTTATAGGGTGGCCTATCTTTCCAAGTAAATACATCGTTCATAACGAGGCTGTGTTATGATACTCCTTAAGTGGTTAAGAAAAAGTTTCTGGCATTTCGTAGTCATCAGTAGAACCTCGTCCTAAACAAAGAAAGTAAACAATTGATTTCTGTACCTACATTACGTGTGGAACTTAAAAGAAACCGGTGGTGATAAAGTACTCTAATATTTTATTAACTTAGCATCATACACACTCATTACTGCTTTTTTAACAAATGTGTCCTTAAGTTATTCCGAGTGATCGCTGTTAGCTGGGTTTATCGCTCCTTGAACATTCAGAGTCGTTACGAAGCGGGTAATGTACGATGCAGAGATTCCTCTTCACGATCCGTTGATCTCTATGGACAGTTCCAAGTTGACGGTAAACTTTGGAATAATTATCTTGCTCCTTAATTTTTATGTCAGTGACCATTGTCCATCGATTTCTAATAAATATTTAGTTTCAACACCCTTCATTTCATTTGTGTTACTGAGTAAGAGCGTTCTGATATCACGACTCTGTGAAAGTGTTTAGTAATAATACTATACTTAGTTAACCTTTGATGTGTACTGCATTTGATAGATCATATTTGGGAAACCATCACTTCAAAATATACATATTATAGTTACACCAGCCAAACTAATAAATTTCTCCAGCAGGTATCTGTTTTTTAATCTTATTTTCAGTACTGATATTTACTTTGTTAAAAGTTGAACCCTATTTGCAATTATCTTTAAAGTCAGTATACTGAAAAAGTCAAAGGTAGGCTTAGATAGTTTCCGTTTCCACCGATCGATCGATGTTATTGGTAAGAAACATGGCAAAATTTACAACTTAAGTTCTATTTGTTTCTGTACTTAGATATATTACTTATCGAACATCACAGCTGTTTGTGATGAGATCAATAGCTAGCAGAAGTGATTTAGCTTTTTGTAATGTTGCCATTGTTTTATGTCTTATAATTTATCATAATGGTGGACAGGTCCTAGGGGAGACAACTTTCATAAACAAATCCACTTAAAGTTTACAACAGCAGTTCCCCGCAATTTCATTATTACTTTAATGAGTTACATCTAAAAATAGAATAACTAAAACTTCGGTTACAGGGATGTTTTTAATCTGATTCAAACAATACTGAATATTCCGATGTCAATGTCCTAATGTGTAACGAGAAATTGCAATAAGATGAACCGAGCTAGACAGGTGTGTACCATCTAAATATATCACGCAGTAAAATGTGGATGGAAATTAAAAACAAAAACAACAAAAAACATCGAACAATGTTTATCATTTAAACATCAAAAGCACTTTTTTTAATATTTTGTTCATTTCATTGTTTGTAAAATCAACAAAGATCAACATGATATATCACTTCCTATGTAGACAACATCTATTCAAGGCTAGAGATCGTTGTTATGAATGTATAAAACGTACTGATTGCTGTACTCTGACAAACATTAGCACTACATTTCAACGTCTAGTGCTATGTAATAATTCTTAAAAATGAATGAAATTAAAAAATTGGCTAAAACCCATTTTTCATGGTGAATAAGTATGTAATTGAAATTTGTATTAACAAATGAAAATATATTTGCAGAAAAATAGGAATTTCTTACAGGAACTTTTAAGTATGTTTTCAAAAATACGAGAACACAGAGAGATGCTCTTCTGCTATACACAAGTTTCGCTAAATTAGAACATATTCATTATAGCGTAATCATACCAAAATTTCACAGTTTTATGCTAACGCAGAGCAGTAATAAATCAGAAAGAAATATTAAGTCAAGTAAAAGCACCACAGATACACGGAGTCATTAAACGGTATGTAAATCTGTCATTGGTAGAAGTAAGATTTTATCATTGTGCGTTCAAAGGACACTTCAAAAGTTAAAAAAAGTAGGAAACGAAACAATAATCATGATACCGTTGGCTTTCCGACCAACTCTGTCTCAGTAACAAAGTTTTCAGAATTCTGATACCTAGCAAATGATACATAACTAAACGGTCCTTTAAAAAATAATGCAATTCAGAGGGAGCATCATTTTCTGTTATTAAATTCAAAAGGACCTTCTAAATTTGCTCATATTTTTCTGTACGCACATTTCTGTTATTCAAAACATAAAACCAATAACTCTTGAATAAGCGTCATAACCAACTTCAAAAATAGTCAATAATTAATACAAACGGTCATTTTTATAACTCTTTTACAGGAAAGTAGTTATTTTGTGCTGTCGCAAAGTAAGCGACGGGAGATAACTCTACCTTTCTTGTGTTTGTTCTAAGTGATCATTTATACACATAGTAATTGCCTTCGTCTTCAATGATACTTACCGCTCAACCACTTAACTGTTAATTGAGCTAAAACGAATTTAAAAAAGCATTAAAAAAAATAACCATAGTGATGATCGTGAAGCAGTGATATTGTGAATTGGTCCGCCAAAGCATGGTCCCTTTCCTCACCAGAATACACACGTATTTCAAATCGCCCTTTTATTTTTCACGGTACGTGTGTAACATGTTGTAATGACACTGTTAGCTAATTCGGATGTTTGACTTGTTAAGATAATGTCCGAGTTCCGTAGACAGTTTCCGTTTGTAGTTATTTATCATATATACCATATAATCGGTGTATCTGTCCGACACGGAAGCACTCTTACCTCCTCGTCTGTAATTACCTTCATAGTTATTCATCACACAGAATTTCTCTTTGTGTGACAAAGAAACACCCAGAAACTTCATTAACCGGTCCAATTCCACCGAGGGGTTTTCCCGCAGATCTTTATACATAACCACGTGGAGCGGGCCGTCAAATGTCAGCCAATCGTGGTAAAGATCATACCAATCTCCGGCTGTTCCAAAGATATAGTCGTACCAATCTAAAATGACAAGTGAATTTACAATTAAAAGTCATGATCATGATGCGAGACAAATAATACACAATAATAATGGTATGTCGGTCAACGAAATGTTGAATTCAACTGCTGGTGATACGTAACAAGATACAAACCTGCCACCGTTGTGCTCACCGTAAGCCTCCTCACAACACGAATTAAAACTCTTAAAGACTTTAATTAACATGTATTGCCCTGAAAGTACCCCGGACATATCCTCAACTCCTTCCCTATTACAGTAATATACAAGGCTAGAGTTGATTACCTAACAGTTCACGTAAACCTCTAAAATCAAGATGGTGAGTTGGATACACATTCGGTGAGCCAGATCACACTCTATAATCATTAAGGAAGGAGGCGGGGTGTTTACACTTAATACTTGACTGAAAATACCACACTAACCCTGCTATTTCCTATGTGTACTTTCCAATAACCTACACTTCATGACGTGAACTCTCCCATAACCTACACTTCATGATGTGTACTCTCCCATAACCTACATTTCATGATGTGTACTCTCCCATTACCTACACTTCATGACGTGATCTCTCCCATAACCTACACTTCATGACGTGTACTCTCCCATAACCTACATTTCATGACGTGTACTCTCCCATAACCTACAGTGTACTCTCCCATAACCTACAGTGTACTCTCACATAACCTACAGTGTACTCTCCCGTAACCTACACTTCATGACGTGAACTCTCCCCTAACCTACACTTCATGATGTGTACTCTCCCATAACCTACATTTCATGACGTGTACTCTCCCATAACCTACACTTCATGACGTATACTCTCCCATAACCTACACTTCATGACGTGTACTCTCCCATAACCTACACTTCATGACGTGTACTCTCCAATAACCTACACTTCATGACGTGTACTCTCCCATAACCTACACTTCATGACGTGTACTCTCCCATAACCTACACTTCATGACGTGTACTCTCCCGTAACCTACATTTCATGACGTGTACTCTCCCATAACCTACAGTGTACTCTCCCATAACCTACAGTGAACTCTCCCGTAACCTAAAATTCATCTCCCATAACGTACACTTCATGACGTGTACTCTCCCATAACGTACACTTCATGACGTGTACTCTCCCATAACCTACACTTCATGACGTGAACTCTCCCATAACCTACACCTCATGACGTGTACTCTCCCATAACCTACACTTCATGACGTGAACTCTCCCATAACCTACACCTCATGACGTGTACTCTCCCATAACGTACACTTCATGACGTGTACTCTCCAATAACCTACACTTCATGACGTGTACTCTCCCATAACCTACACTTCATGACGTGTACTCTCCCATAACCTACACTTCATGACGTGTACTCTCCCATAACCTACACTTCATGACGTGTACTCTCCCATAACCTACACTTCATGACGTGAACTCTCCCATAACCTACAGTGTACTCTCCCATAACCTACACTTCATGATGTGAACTTTCCCATAACCTAAACTTCATGACGTGTACTCTCCCATAACCTACACTTCATGACGTATACTCTCCCATAACCTACACTTCATGACGTATACTCTCCAATAACCTACACTTCATGGCGTGTACTCTCCAATAACCTACACTTCATGACGTGTACTCTCCCATAACCTACACTTCATGACGTGTACTCTCCAATAACCTACACTTCATGACGTGTACTCTCCCATAACCTACACTTCATGACGTGTACTCTCCCATAACCTACACTTCATGACGTGTACTCTCCCATAACCTACACTTCATGATGTGAACTTTCCCATAACCTAAACTTCATGACGTGTACTCTCCCATAACCTAAACTTCATGACGTGTACTCTCCCATAACCTACACTTCATGATGTGTACTCTCCCATAACCTACATTTCATGATGTGTACTCTCCCATAACCTACACTTCATGATGTGTACTCTCCCATAATCTACACTTCATGACGTGTACTCTCCCATGACCTACAGTGTACTCTCCCATAACCTACAGTGTACTCTCCCATAACCTACACTTCATGACGTGTACTCTCCAATAACCTACACTTCATGACGTGTACTCTCCCATTACCTACACTTCATGACGTGAACTCTCCCATAATCCACACTTCATGACTTGTACTCTCCCATAACCTCCACTTCATGTCGTGTATTTTCCCATAACCTACACTTCATGACTTGTACTCTCCCATAACCTCCACTTCATGACGTGTACTCTCCCATAACCTACACTTCATGACGTGTACTCTCCCATAACCTACACTTCATGACGTGTACTCTCCCATGACCTACAGTGTACTCTCCCATAATCTACACTTCATGATGTGTACTCTCCCCTAACCTACACTTCATGACATGTACTCTCTCATAACCCTCACTTCATGACGTGTACTCTCCCATAACCTACAGTGAACTCTCCCGTTACCTAAACTTCATGACGTGTACTCTCCCATAACCTACACTTCATGATGTGTACTCTCCTATAACGTACACTTCATGACGTGAACTCTCCTATAACCTACACTTCATGACGTGAACTCTCCATTAACTTTACAATTCACGAGGAATACTATATAATACCATCCTTACTTTTCTGGAAGTGTACTCGTCCTGCATAGCCTTTGTGCCCTCCATGCCGCCTGTTGAATTCGGACAGGAGGGCGTCAAATGGGTCCCTGATCAGAAGAATAGCTCGGACATAGCGAGCACGCTCGTCCGGACCTAGAGAATGTGTCTTTATTACAATCACTGAGGCGTTGGTCTGACCCTCACCAGGAAAGCCATCCCTCTTCAAACCAACGTCCGAATAGACACTCCCTGTAGCCACACCTGTAAGTGAAAACAGTCTTATCATGTTTAGGTACAACAAAATGACACAATACATTTAGGCACAATAATGATGACGTAGCATGTAGCCTTCTGTTTCCTACCTGTAGCCTGCTGTATGACGTGACGTAGCCAGGTATTGCCAGACCCGGGAAAGCTGACCAGAGCAGTGAGAGGGAGCGGGATGGTGGAGTAGCGAAGACCTTTACATGTCCAGTTATTGGTGTCCGGCTTTCCAATATATAAGTGACCGAATCGCTGTACCCACGACACTGGACTGTTGTACGATTTAACCATGGAATAAAGTGCCAGAAGATTGACCGCTCCAACGTAAACCACGGCACATGCAATAATTGTCAACGCTGACCGCTTCGGACGTTTTTTCCAACACATAAGGACGCCCGGGGTCAAAGGACAGCCAGGACTAAATCATCCGTCAGTCTTACCTAAAATGTATAAGCACAACCAAGTACACCATCTGTAATACCATTTCTAGAGTTAGGCATGCCAGTCCCCGCACTGATTGAGAATTCTAATCACCGTTCCACTATCTACTCTCTCCGCAGCGGCCCAACCACCATCACTAACGTATCTCTTATCCCAAAGCCAGTCCTATCTCCGCACCTTATCCCGTACCTATTCCGAGAATGGAATGACTCTCATGTTTGTGGAGAAGTTCTGTCCATCACCTGTCCCGATAATTAATTAATAACACTACGAATCTTAGATACTTAGTTAATGAACCTACTAAAATCGTCATTCATCATTTTGTCTAAACTTTCGATATCTAAAAGATAATGAAGTTGTTCATAACGATCCATTTTATCCGACCCATGTGTATGTTGATAGTGGTCCTTCTCTCCTGCTTAGAAACAGCTAAATACTTCTCTCTCTCTGTCTCTCTCTCTCTCTATTTGTCTCTCTCTCTCTGTCTCTCTCTCTTTGTCTATGTCTCTGTCTCTCTATCTCTGTCTGTCAGGCTGCCTGTCTATCTGTCTGTCCGTCCGTCCGTCTCTCTCTCTCTCTCAATCTATCTATCTCCGTCTCTGTCTCTCTCTGTCTCTTTGTCTCTCTCTGTCTGTCTGTCTGTCTGTCTGTCTGTCTGTCTCTCTCTCTCTCTCTCTCTCTCTCTCTCTCTCTCTCTCTCTCTCTCTCTCTCTCTCTCTCTCTCTCTCTATATATATATATATATATATATATATATATATATATAACACACACACACACACACACACACACACACACACACACACACACACACATATATATATATATATATATATATATACACGAGGACTTCAAGTCCCGAACAATCTAATAACTAAATAAATAGATCAGATAAACAAATGTAAATAAGATTTATCAGTTACCATAAATGTTGTGTTAGTGCCCCTGAATTTTATTTTATAGCACACAGAAGATTGCCATCAGGGAGTGGTATCCAGCCTACAACATGTCTATCGTAAAACACCGAACCACGACCTGAGATAATAATGATTTACAGACAAAGATTGTAGCACGTCAAGTCCAATGATAGCATATTAAATTTTATTTACATCAGCCTCAGGTCACTAACGTAGCATGTATAGATGGAATATTAACATTCTGGTTTCCACAGGCCTGGAGTCCAAAGTAACGGTGAGAGAGAACCCATGCCAATATCAGCAGCGGGTCGAACGTGATAGCATTGCTCGTGTGTTGAAAACTCGACACATGCTATTCAATACATCATACAAGTGGGACTTATACACTCTTATACTCGCGTCGATTTCATTTGGAAATTACTAAACGAGTTCAGTTATTTAATATTTAACGAAAGTGACATATCAAATTATCTCAAAAGTTCATGATTCCATATTACACTGAAAAGCGTAAAATCATATTTATCACATAAGCTATATTTCTGAAAAATAAACAAAAGCGTTCAAATCGATCTCCCTTTAAGACAGACTTATTTTGGTAAGCAGGGTACGTTTTTCACAGAAAAGACAATCATGTGACGTCATGAAGACGCGGCTTGTCCATGACGTCATGAGATTGTTAGTATACATGTGTCTTACTACGTTGATGGCATAACCTTATCTCATGACAAAATTGGTGAGTTATGTGATAAACACGGTTCTGGTTGTGACGTCATTATCATAGCTAGTGATTTACACTTCAATGACGTCATATCAAAAATAAAGAAAGGGCATGAATATGGAATCGGCGTGTTCACTCATTAATAATGAATGCATGTGATAATTACGTCATCTTCCTTAGCATGTTGGTGACGCACCGAAATGATTACTCGTCAATTCTTCGATGTATTCGTTACATGTTTGTTCAATAAAAGCTTTACATCTTTTCAATTTTAAGATACGTCATATGTGTAAGTACCTAAAGATGATCAGGGATGATATTTGGAGAACTTTATATTGCTCGTCATACCTAACGTTCAGCGTGCGCACCAATGGGTAGTCACTCCAATTAATTTACTTAACATTTCGATGCATGCATTGAAAAGAAATGATAATCCTTTATTTTTACATTTTAACCAGGGATGTTCATAAAAACGTTAAAACAATTGCCTTTCACACCTTGGTAGATCATTTCCATCAGAAGCAATAGGTGGCGCTACTTCGGCATCACTGACAACACCAGGTGGCGCTACTTCGGTATCACTGACAACACCTACAGCAACTCAACAGTTTCGCAAGCAAATAATGAAATCAATGTTTTAATTACTTTTGTTAAAAAATACTTCGAGTAACATCAAAATTAGTTATATTATCAACTTTTTATCACATTTGAAACCATGTATATATTTCTTTAAAATTCTTGCAATGATTGAAAAAATCTTCGGTAAAATAAATAAAAATTGTGTATCCTGTGACGACAGATTTTTGCTGAGCCATGAAAAGGAGGCGTTGTAATCAACAGTTGACATATCAGTATGTTACAGAATCTGGAACCATCGATTTAGTCTAGTGTACCCAAGAAAGGGTCAATCGGGTCGGAAACACTGGTAAAACAAGTGGTCAGTCTTTGTATGAAGTTACATGATCTATACAATCAAGTCAGTGCCTAATTGCCGTGAATGGAGATGTTACAAAGGCGATGGACCTCCAATCCCGGTTAAATCGTTACTAACATTGTTAGTATGGGACAGTACGGAGGCTAGCAGTCTCGGCGGCAATATAGGCTACTCAATATTTGATGATGAGAAGTAGCAGTCTCTGTTGTCTACATCTCCTGTTACAATGGGTAAAACATTGTCCGCAACATCAGAAAATTAATTTGTGATCTCATACAGTTCGAGGTCATTGCACTAGGGGATTCTTTAGAGTTCAGAAATACAGGACAACCAATATAACAGTCAAAATCGTCCCAGGAAACAAGAGCATAGCCGTCACAGGAACCGCATCAAAAATAATCATGAATATAACAGTCCCAGAGACGGCATCGAACATAACATGAAAAGCCGTCCAAATACCGCAGCGAACCTTAATTATCAGTACCGAATCTAACGTGTGCATTCGTCTTAAAAACCGCACCGAACTTAATGCGTACAACTGGCCTTGAGACGACACCAAACCTAACGCGTACAACCGTCCTTGAGACGACACCGAACCAAGCGTGTAAAATTGTTCCAAAAGCTAAACCGAACTTACAACTGTTCATGAGACGACACGGAACCGAACGTGTACAACTGTTCCAAAATCTGCACCAAACCTTACGCATACAAAGAGCCTTGAGACGACACTGAACCTAACGGGTACAACTGTTCTTGAGACGCCACCGAACCTAACGGGTACAACTGTTCTTGAGACGACACCGAACCTAACGGGTACAACTGTTATTGAGACGACACTGAACCTAACGGGTACAACTGTTCTTGAGACGCCACCGAACCTAACGGGTACAACTGTTCTTGAGACGACACCGAACCTAACGGGTACAACTGTTCTTGAGACGACACCGAACCTAACGGGTACAACCGTTCTTGAGACGCCACCGAACCTAACGGGTACAACCGTTCTTGAGACGCCACCGAACCTAACGGGTACAACCGTTCTTGAGACGCCACCGAACCTAACGAGTACAACCGTTCTTGAGACGCCACCGAACCTAACGGGTACAACTGTTCTTGAGACGACACCGAACCTAACGGGTACAACCGTTCTTGAGACGACACTGAACCTAACGGGTACAACTGTTCCAAAATCTGCACCAAACCTTACGCATACAAAGAGCCTTGAGACGACACTGAACCTAACGGGTACAACTGTTCTTGAGACGCCACCGAACCTAACGGGTACAACTGTTCTTGAGACGCCACCGAACCTAACGGGTACAACTGTTCTTGAGACGACACCGAACCTAACGGGTACAACCGTTCTTGAGACGCCACCGAACCTTACGGGTACAACTGTTCTTGAGACGACACTGAACCTAACGGGTACAACTGTTCTTGAGATGACACCGAACCTAACGGGTACAACTGTTCTTGAGACGACACCGAACCTAACGGGTACAACTGTTCTTGAGACGCCACCGAACCTAACGGGTACAACTGTTCTTGAGACGACACCGAACCTAACGGGTACAACCGTTCTTGAGACGCCACCGAACCTTACGGGTACAACTGTTCTTGAGACGACACTGAACCTAACGGGTACAACTGTTCTTGAGATGACACCGAACCTAACGGGTACAACTGTTCTTGAGACGACACTGAACCTAACGGGTACAACCGTTCTTGAGACGACACTGAACCTAACGGGTACAACTGTTCCAAAATCTGCACCAAACCTTACGCATACAAAGAGCCTTGAGACGACACTGAACCTAACGGGTACAACTGTTCTTGAGACGACACCGAACCTAACGGGTACAACTGTTCTTGAGACGCCACCGAACCTAACGGGTACAAACGTTCTTGAGACGCCACCGAACCTTACGGGTACAACTGTTCTTGAGACGAAACCGAACCTATCGGGTACAACTGTTCTTGAGACGACACTGAACCTAACGGGTACAACTGTTCTTGAGACGACACCGAACCTAACGGGTACAACTGTTCTTGAGACGACACCGAACCTAACGGGTACAACTGTTCTTGAGACGACACTGAACCTAACGGGTACAACTGTTCTTGAGACGCCACCGAACGTAACGGGTACAACCGTTCTTGAGACGCCACCGAACCTAACGGCAAAATCCAGTATGATATTGATATATGTTTCACGAGTTACTTCTTCTCATCCCAAATACGATACAAAACTTTAACAATACCACGATTATCGTCGATACTCGGATATCGTTACTCGTGTTTTGGATTAACGATGCATATACAAGATGCAATGGAACGAATCCAAATTTATCAGAAATAAAATTCACTTCACAGAGAATTGGACTGTCGTTGTACCGATATGCTTTGTATCTGATGGAATTTCATTGGTCTAATTAAGAATTATTGACAACGTGACAACTATCGTCATAGACCTTATCTTTAAGTACTATTTAATAACTGGTTGTTTGTTTCCTCGGAAAACATCTCGGCTGGCTATGTTTCATTTTACCAAAATAATTACGCACATTTACGGTCTCCTCCTATGATTTGTAAATTATGTTTAGGTCTGGTATAACACTTAATTGCTGACAAAGTGTGAATTACCATGGCAACAAATTGCTTTTTTTTCTTATGACATAATGATAGCAATTTTCCTACAGACAAAATTTGATTTTGGCCACTAAAGATGGAGTGGCTTTGATCTAATAATGGCATCACACGACGATAGTTGTAGGGTGCGCTCGGTATACAACGTGGGACCCGGATGTAAGATGAACAACAAACGAATTGTGTTAGGAAATGTAACCACTTTCCGGCACCAAAACCTTCTCAGCTTAAAAATCAAGGTCAAGTTATCAGGGATAAACACCTAGTGCTTCTAATAGATGTTCTCTCAGTGATGTAAACCGCCATGGGAACAAAAGCTTATTAAAGTCGTTCTCATGCCGTGTGATCGGGTTGTCGCTCCTGTCACTGTTAACAGGTGGTTGAGGGTGGGAGCCTGAAGTTGGTTTCCAGTTTCTAGTTCCGTTTAAGAAAAATGAAACTGGAAATGTTTTTCTCAAAGGGAACTAGGAACTGGGAACCAACATCAGGCTCCCGTTGAGGGTCCATTATCACATAATTTCTTATTAAATAAATAAATTCTATATCAAAAGCAATCGTAATAAACACCAAGAAAACATAAAGTTAAAATTAATATATCCATATTAGCGTCAAGAGAAATTGACGTTTTAATAAAAAATGATAAATTCTCCAAGTGTGGTTTTGTCGTGAGATACCAAATAAACGTAGTTATAAACCTAAGAAGTAAAGTAGCGCTTCTAGAAGGACATTTAGGGCATTACTGTTGTGCCTGTAGCCCAGTAACGCCTACCAAACAGGACCTGTTAAAGGCGCTAAAGTTGAGCACATCTACAGATCGTTATTTTTGTGCCTATTCCGGTCACCCCTAGCAAACAGGACTTGTTAAAGGCGCTACGGTTTAGCATATCTACAGATCATTACTTTTATGCCTGTAATCCGGTCACCCCTAGCAAACAGGACTTGTTAAAAGCGCTAAGGTTTAGCATATCTATAGATCATTATTTTTATGCCTGTAATCCGGTCACCCCTAGCAAACAGGACCTGTTAAAGGCGCTAAGGTTCAGCACATCAACAGATCGTTATTTTTGTGAACATATTGTCCGGACATTAATATAGCTGACACACAACTACGGTTGCCTAAAATTCGGCTAATTGAGCACATCTTGTTGGACCAACAAGTCGCTGTAACTGTTCGGTGTTTAGGATGCCGGTATTGAGCCCATCTTCTTTGATCAGAAGGTCGCTGTAACTGTTCAGTGTTTAGGATGCCGGTATTGAGCCCATCTTCTTTGATCAAAGGGTCGCTGTAACTGTTCGGTGTTTAGGATGCCGGTATTGAGCCCATCTTCTTTGATCAAAAGGTCGCTGTAACTGTTCAGTGTTTAGGATGCCGGTATTGAGCCCATCTTCTTTGATCAAAAGGTCGCTGTAACTGTTCAGTGTTTAGGATGCCGGTATTGAGCCCATCTTCTTTGATCAAAGGGTCGCTGTAACTGTTCAGTGTTTAGGATGCCGGTATTGAGCCCATCTTCTTTGATCAAAAGGTCGCTGTAACTGTTCTGTGTTTAGGATGCCGGTATTGAGCCCATCTTCTTTGATCAAAGGGTCGATGTAACTGTTCGGTGTTTAGGATGCCAGTATTGAGCACATCTTCTTTGATCAAAGGGTCGCTGTAACTGTATGGTCTTTATGATGCCAGTATTGAGCACATCTTCTTTGATCAAAAGGTCGCTGTATCTGTTCGGTGTTTCGCATGCCGGTATTGAACACATCTTGTTGGACCAAAAGGTCGCTATAATTGTTCGATGTTTGGGTTGCCAGTATTACGCAAATTTCGAGTAAACTTTGTAGGGTTTGTAAGATACCAAAATTGAGTAACTATTGAAGAATGTCGTTGTCGCAAAAACGGACTAATCCCTGTAAGTCCTGTTAGTCGATAGCATTAGTCAGTAGTAGCTGACATCAAGCAATCTTAAACCAGAATTCCACGGAAGTGGGTGTGTCGCCAGCCCAGCATGGTTTCGGGGTGTGTTTTAAGGAACAATAGCCATAGATATTCATTGTATTTATTCCATTGATATAATTTTGTTTGAGATGTGGTGAGTAAATTTGCAGATTAGATGTCGAAGGGAACTGAGTCCCGAGGATAGGTTTTCCTTATTAATACAACATAATGTTTGTTAACAAGCTTACTATTATTCCAGTAAGTCTTCATAAACAAGGGATATGAATTTACAGGTAAATGTTACTGTATTAATGTTTTACTCCGTGCGGACTCATCCCAAGTCTTAATATGCAGACTGTACTGAGATTCTCGAGTCTTTTAAACAGTGTCATCAACAACGTTCGATTTGGAGCAAGACAGCATCGCAGAGTAAACGAAGAGAGTTGCTAAGTACATCAGAGGTATCCACTATACAGTTTCAGTGAAGTAACAGATTCAACGTGCAAACTGATAATATTTAGTGAGTAGTTGATCCAAGACATTTTGCATAATGTTCGAGTGGATTGGTAAATGGAAGCTGTCCTTTTTAAGTAGATATAATGTGACCAATACACATGATATAGGTGGAGCGGTATACCAACGTCGTTAATGTGGGAATCATTTAAATGCAAGTGGAAATTGCCGCCTATATTTTTTAAATGCCTTCTTGCTCCAAATGTTATTTACAATGCTTTATTGTAATGTCTTTAATATTTTGTTAATATAATTCTCAAATACTGCTACCATTTCTGAATTCCTTGTTTCAAGGAGGAATGTTTTTGAAATTTTATTTATTTTTTTTTTATAACAAGCTAACTCCTCAATACTGCTAAATTTGCGAACTTAAAATAGGTACAGGAAGAGACAAAACAAGTACACATATGTATAGGACCCTAGAAATCAACATATTTGGTTTCTGATAAGGAACAACTGTATGAAGTTTGAGGTTGATCGGCCAAAGGGAACTGAAAATCTATTTATAGTAACAGCGACCTTGAGCTTTGACTTTCGGACCTGAAAAGCCATCCCAATCAATTACGTTTAATAAGAAAGCATTGTAAAATGTTTGAGCATGATCGGCCAAAGATCACTTAAGTTACGGCTGAGAAACCTTTGTGCGGATTACGACGCTGACGACATAGTAATACATGTATATCGCCTTTAGCTGGCAGACGACACAAAAATACGTTCAAAAGCAATGATTCAATATACAGTGATTCGTCAATGTTGCCAGTAGTAGAGGAATTAGAGAAAGACAAAAATATTTTCAGATCAGGACGAAAGATTTGTGGCCATGTGGAATGTAAGCTCTGCCATGAAAGTAAGCTTGAATATAGATTGAATTGCTATAAGTAAATTTGTAGAATAAAACCAAATAATAGTTTTAAGAGACAAGAGACTGAAAGGGATTAAAAAAGAGAACTTGAAATCACTTGCAACTACAATGAATTTTTAATTCAGCTAGAAACAAATTTGTTAGAAAAGCAAGAGACTTGACATGTTATTCCAAGCAAGCATGACGAATTTGGAGTTTGGTGGTCCACAGACCTTGACCTTTGACATGTTATGAAATCCCAAAACAGCACGCAATTCAAAAGCGGGCACATACTGAAGTTTGAATTTTATAGAGTCAATGATGCTAAATTATCGTGTGAAAACCGATATTTCTTTATATTTTCAGCTGAAAGCACTTCTAAACAAGATATCCCCCGATGATTCACCAAAAGATATGAGGTTATGGTGTGGAAACCAATTTCCTATTTATGGCAAAAATGACCTTGACTTTTACACTTCATATCTGTAAATTAGTTTCAAATTACAGAAAATCAAACTTCGTGAATCTGGGGATCGATCAGCTGTAAGGTTCTCCTGTTCTCCTATGGAGAGAAACACTACAATACTTTTAGAGTATACCATATATATCACGCTGGAAACTTGAAACCTGAAAAGCAACCCAAACCATTTCTCTCTCGGTAAAGAAGCAACATTAGACCTTTTACTGGTTCCAATGGTATTCAGTCGTCGTGGTCGGACGACGAACCCCACGACTGGCTGACGACATTAATAAAGTTATGCCTATGGGTCTCCTTTCCTTGCGACACAAAGAAGTTCACTTCTATTGTCGCTGGATGAGAATTGCCTATTCTTATATTAGTCAGGTGGGAAATCAGACCAATGATCCATTTGTATTGATTAAGACTTTGACGTAACAAAATTACGACGGTTATTACCAACAAAGGTATATGAGACAAAGGACAATAAACTGCGCGTGCAGACATGCGATCACAAACAACCAATAGTCAAAAAGATGACATCAACCTAGAATATCTAAGTCAGCCTTATACTGTAGTCTGAGAGATATAATTTTTGTTTAAATAAACGTGCGTGATATCGTGAAAACTGAACCCAAATTACAGACATTACTTGAACATGGCCTGCTTGTCAAGGCGATCATAGACAGATATGGCCGTAGAAAGCGTGGTGAGAGACCTGATATGCTACATGTGATAGGTATGGCTATTTTCACACTGTTCTTGTATTTGAACGTCATTGAATGTAAAAGAACCTTTTGTTTACAGTCGGGACTAGAATATGGCATGTTGTTTACGGATCCCGTCAAAAGATTTATATGACAACACGATATGG